TGCTTGGGGTCAAGGAAACAAGGTGGTGGAACGGAAAGCTTTGCAGTGGATGTTGGAGCAAACAGGCGGTTTGCAATTCAGGCAGTTCTCACTTTCGACAGAGAATTAAGGCCTTTAGCATCATCTGCTATGGGTGCAACCTCTACCGAAGATGGCCAAGCTGCGGGATGGGACTTTATTTTGGAACACGGAGAGCGTGACAGAAGTCAGTTGAAGCAGCTCCGATTGATTCACAAGAACATCAACAGAGACGGCTCCCCCATTCGTGGTTGGTCTGAAAAGCTTGTGCAGAAGGCATTGGACTCCCTGGCAAATGACAACTGTCTAGCGAAACTCATCACAAGATACGATCTTACCGTGCAGAACCTTCACCCGACTTTGTGGAGAATATCTTTCAAGACGCAGTTGGCTTCCTGCTGGACCACAGCCTCTGGCTAATGGGAGAGCCTGGGGTTGGGAAAACCCCCTTGGCTCGGAGCACTGCCATGTTGTTTAGCAGATGTCATGGAGGAGACGGAAATTTTCGCACAGCAGAAGACTTTGATTTCTTCCGCGGTTTGCACTTTGGTATGTCTACTCCTGCCCTGTACGACGACGGAGATGTATCCCTCGAGCCCATTAACAAGAAAAAGGCATTTTCTGATGTCGGCAACAACGAGGGCATCCTTAAAGAGAGATGGACAGCCGCAAAGTTCGTGCAAGGCCAACTCCGTGTCATCATCGACAACTCCTATGCCAACCTGGAGGTTGCCAACCCAGAGGCCACTTCCATCTCTCACGATGAGTTCGTGAAAATGATCGGGCCCGCCATAGGCCACATTCCCAGCGCCGACACCAGAGCCATTCTCAAACGCAGCGTCTTCATCGTCTTCGCCAAGGGTTGCATCTAGTATCGTCCTCCTTCACGGGATGTTCTGTGTTTGTGGATTTGAAGATTTTTGGATGTGTGTTTTTCTTGGAGTCTGGCATTATTGCAATGTGGATGGGGGAAGTTTGCAGTTGTGGATTTGGTTAGGAATTCTGGGAATCCTGAGAGATATTTTTTCGGATCGGAATCGCACTCGCTGTAGTTATAGTTAATACTGGAACTAGTTCAGTAACATGATGAGCTCTGCAGGTCAGCCTTGGACTCCAGCTTAGTCTTTGAGCATAGCCCTCCCTTCTTAGAGTTTGTTATGGTCTTAGCACTTACGAGGCAGCCATTGTAGTCTATATCGTGAAATTCTAGTCGTTACCAGACGTTGTGAATCCCATCCAGTACAAATACCCTCGTATTCCTCTTTCGCCTCCGCGATCTTCAAAACGTGGAAATGGGCACAGTAATTCCTTGGACGACTAAACATGTACTTGTCACATCTGGTCAAAATCAGATATTTAGCTGCCCCGCAGATATAGCCTCCACGTCTCGTGTTGATAGGGCACCTCAATATAATTTCTGCTATGAGTAGCATGTAGATACTCATACTACCATTTTCCATGTATGTCCCAGGGTTTTCACTGCTCCGGTATATCTGTATAGCCTTCGCAGGCTCTTGTTATTTGAGCACTGTTGCTCCTTACGTGATTTCTCAACCTTCATGTAGCCTCACTGCCATCCTCCAGCTGCGTCATAGTGTGCTGCAAGATATCAGCATCTTCGGTACTTCTATACTCAAGCATGTCATGATCCCTAAAATCTGAGGTGCATCTAATGCGTATTGTTATCCGGATGATACTGTACCCACCGATCCTCGCATGTAGTGTAAAGTTGGAGGTTCGTGCCGAAGTCACAACTTGTGACTGGATTTCTTGGAGGCATGAAGTACTACGACCACATTGTTACATGTGTAAGTTCGAAAGCTTACGTCGTGCGATTGCGCGGGGAATTCCAGAAAGGCTTTGTGGGATTGGAACTGCAACCACGATCTCTACTAAGACTTTCTGGCGACTTTAGAACCTGGTCTGGCAGAACTAGACAACTCAGGTTCGTTGGGTTCCTGGACAGGTCCACTAGCGAGTAGGCAACATTATGATGAGTCAATTTGTGCATGGGGTGTGAGTTTCAACTAGTGCGGCTCCGTATTCTTATTCAAAGTGTAAATCGTATGTCTGATCTTGTGTGAAGGGTCGAATTCTGCGCCTTGCGAGGGTTTAAAGCTGCCTTTCGGGAGGGTTTAGCATCTTGTCAGGGTGTAAGGCCTCTGGGGGCCGTTTGGGCCTAGAGAGCCCTTTTGCTTCTGGCCTAGAAAGCACGACTGTGGATTATGCTGCTGGCTGGAATGGCAAGCACGGACACGCACACGCACACGCGCGTGAATCCCAGCTCAATCGAAAACCCAGAACGTTTCCCAAGACCAGCTCCAAAGCTTGGCCAGGATAAGGCTGCGCAAAGTTTCCAAGTCCTTGCAGACGAAGCTTTTCGATCCGAGGCTTGCCAAGTGACTCAAAAGCTGTGTGGTCCAAGGGTTATGGAGGATTTGTGTAATGGTTCTGTGGAGTTAATTAGTCTTAATGGTTGTGCACCGTCGGAGTTGTAGGCTTGGCTTTCGCTCTTCAGGGCTTGGAAGGAAGGATGCATGTCATAATTTTAGATCGGTCTGTCCACAGCTATGAAGTCATGACTGAGGGGGTGAAAGGCCAATTCCTGCGCTGGCAGAACAGGTCCGGGAGTTCTTCCTGACCCTGCCCATGGCCTTGGAGCGGGAGGACAACCATCTTGAATCCTTCATGCCAGAATTCCGACCTTTCGACTGGCATGATCCATCCGTCCATCCATTGAACCATCCTTCCTTCCGTCGCAATCAACGTGTTCTCTGTTTCTGTCTGCTGTCCCTTCGACTGCAAAGATTGGTTTCTGCATCTGTTGTTGAAGTCTCTACTTTTGCTTCTAGGCTAGCAAAGCGTGTTGCGAGCGCCCTCAAACGCGAGGAGCTCTTTCATCTAGGGCTGCTATGCGGGTCTAGGGCGGGCAGCCTCGCCTACGAATTCGGGCCCATCGAAAAACCGTTTTCGACTCCAAGAGCTCTACCCCTCGGGATCCACTCTTGTTGCTGGGCAGCAGTTCTCTCCTTGAGCTTTCGTCCCCCTTTCGAAGCATGGGTGCATATGGGTGCATGGGGCGCAAGGACCTGATTGTGGTGCATGCGGCCTGGGACGAAGCGACGGGGCCTTGGCCTTCGGCCTTGGGCCCCCCGGGGATCAGCGCATTTTTGGGTTCTCGCGTTACCTGCCGCCTCTTCGACTTCATAGATCTTCATAGGGGCACCTCCCCCACCCCCGACCCTCTAAGCACCGAGCGCCGACCCCTTTCCATGTAAACACCAGATGACGTGCACAAAGCTGCTTTCGATGTTGGCCACAGCACGGACACAGAACTTTGCAGGTCAGCCGAGAAGCTGAGAAGCTTCGACGGAAACGTGACTCGTCTCAAGAGCGGTTCCCCTTCTACCAGCTGTTCTGGATTCGTAGTTTTCAAGACGTTTTCAAGACGCTTAGGCGATTGGAGCCTATGACTTCTTCGACAAACAGATTCAGGAGCCCGACATGCATACATTCACGCACATGCAGACAAACACACGGACAAGCAGACATTCAGGCCGGCAGGCGGGCGGGTGGCGGGCAAGCGGGCGGGTGTGGGTGGGTGGATGGGTGAGTGGGTGGGTGGGTGTGTCTCTCTGTGCGCGTGTGTGTGTGTGTGCGCGCGTGCCAAGGTGCTGAGTTTGCAGACTTTGCTTTTTCCATGTTGATCTCATTGCATTGGTGGCATCGGCAGGCTGCAATAGTGGCAGAGAATATCACGGATCAAGACGAGATCGACATGCGCGAGCAGAACCTGAACCCAATCAAGGTCATGTCCTCTGGCTATGAAGGACCATTAACTTAATCTTGATCATCAACATGTAAATCACTGACCGATTTGGAGCTTCATCTCCCTTTGCAGCTCCGACAACCTGCGTGCCTGAAGCACGAAAGCCCAAAACCTACAGTTAGGGCCGGAAGCTTGCAACCCAAGCCTTGTAGATGCTGACGCAAGAAGCTAAAGCTACAAGTTTTGCAGGAAGGGCTGCCGAACCGTTTTTCGCTGGTGGCAAGATGCGGACTCTGGAGCGCTTGAGGCGAAGGGATAAGCCGGAAGCCCCAACAGCCTCCTAACTCCCGAAATCCTGTCTCTGGCTGCAGGTGGTGGGAATCTTATGAGGCAAAGGATGACAGGTCCCTTCGTCTGAGCTGGGAGGTGTTGTGCGATTGTGGGCTTTTGGGGCAACTTTAGGGCCGTCAGGCAGTAGGCAGTGGGGATACTGCACTTCAGGAGTAGTCGGGGGGTTGCAATGCTGCCGTCCTGGAGGCTGGTCGTAATCGGACACTACTGGCGCCGATTTCTGGATGAGGTGAGCCCTCAAGTCTCCGAGAAGTATCCGTGGCTCTCCATGCAAGCAGTCTTCAACGGGAGGTGAAAAGCGCGTGTTAATGTTGGCTCTGTCGCATCCCGAGGAAAGGCTTTGCTCCGTCTGGTGCCGACTCACGGCTGAACAACCTTCGCATTGAAACCATAGTGCAGCAGCGCAGCACAGCGAGTTCATGTCTCTCCAAAGTTTTGCTTCTTTGGAAGGACATGTTTCCCGGCTACTCGCCGAGTAGTTTGCTGGGAAAAAAGAAGAAGGCAGGAGCTGAAGAAAAGACCTCGTGCCTTGCCTGTGTCCGCGTGCAGAAGCTGGCAGGTAATGTGTGTCGACTTCTCTGTCGGAGTACGATACGAAGAGAGGGGCATGGGAAGCTCGTTTGCATTAGAGAGAGGCAAGCTTCGAATGTTGAGCTTGTCCGATCGCTGGTGGCTTTTCTACCTGCAGCGGCCTTCGAGGTTTGCCGGAGGGCAGCTTGGGTACGGCGCTTGCAGCATTGCGGCTCCCCGAGATGACGCTGCACCGGAATGATGCTAAAGTTCTGTCGTGCGGGTGACCAAAGTGTTCCCCCTGGCAGATGGCAAAGCAATTGCGCGCAACACAGCCGAAAATCTTATGAGAATGGCAACCTGCGCCTTTGCCTACCCGACAAGACAGAAGCATGCAGGGGACTCTGGGCGATTCAGGTCAGAGGCAAATGAGGGTCGCACTCCGTGGAGCTTTTTGGACCAGGCGGGCGACGGTTGCGACAACGGCAAGGTCGAGCCCTCCTACGTTTGTGAATACCAGGGGAGGTGGCTGACTCAGAGCCGTCTCAGGGAAAGAAGGGGGGGAGAGCGACGACAGAGAGAGAGAGAGAGAGAGAGAGAGAGAGAGAGAAAGAGCGTGTCTTGCCATGTTGCGGGTAGTGTGGCCGAGAACACCCTACAGTAGGGGACTTGCGCAGGGGGACAGTTAGCTTGCGCTTTTGAGTCCCAGCCGGAACCAAAACGGAACCGGTGACGAGGCGCGAGGCCGGGGATCGACTTCGGATAAAGTACAGGGTCTGTTCAGGGGGGATGCAACAGTGCAAACCGGGGCCTCGCACCTCCAGAGGGGGAAAACTCGGTTCGCATTTGTCCAGTGCGCACTCGTGCGCGAAGTAGGTTGACCTGACCTGCTTCTGGCTGCGTGCAAGCAAGAGTGAGAAAGAGAGAGAAAGAGAGAAAGAGTGGGAATGATCAACCGGGAAACAACAAACAAACTTTCTCACACTCCTCCAAAGTCCCCACAAAATTTGCGGGGCCCTAGTGGCCGGGGGGTCTAACCAACCCCTCATGCCCGGCGGAAGAAGAAAGAGTGCAAGCAAGAGAGAAAGAGATGCAGAGACAGTGAAGGAAGCGAGGGTGCATAGAGGTCTCAGACTATGTTTGCTTGCTGTGCCGGGAATCCTCTACAGGGACTTTTGATTTCACACACTTCGATAATCGAGGGCCTGTGAACTTCGCCGTCAGGGAAGTACGTAGCACGTTGGTTGTTCGTAGTTGGACGGCGAGACAGCAGGAATATGTGCCACGCCACGCAGACTCCGACTGGATCGTGGCCGCGGAGCGGCCGGCCGTGGCAAAGGCCGCGAGGGGTCCAAGGGCAGCGGCCAGGGCAAAGACAAATCGAGCGATTCGTCCCGCAGAAGACCCCTTTGGCATGCCCAAGGAGTTGGCACCTGCGGAGCACAAGCGCGAAGGGCAAGTGGATGTGCTGTCACGGTTTGAAGCTGCAGTCCGGGTCAAATCTCATCACCAACGATTCCCCTCCGGACTGTAAGCGTGGTCGTGGTCTCCATCAGTGTATGGCCTGCGGCAGTGCCAGCAGGAAGTCGGAGCTTGATTGCCGCAGTGATGTGACCGGCAGCGTCCAACCCAGGAGTCCCTCTCGTCAGGCACGGGAACGAGGGCTCAACGGGCCCTCTCTGGGATCCTTGTTGACCTGGCAATACGCTCCGTTGAACCTGACCGGAGGGCACCACTCCTCCTAAGCGTTCATAGGCAGAACAGAGAGAGAGATATAGATATAGATATAGATATAGATATAGATATAGATATAGATATAGATATAGATATAGATATAGATATAGATATAGATATAGAGAGAGAGAGAGAGAGAGAGAGACCAGCGCATCTTTCCGTCAGGGGAAAGTCTCACAGCACAGGCTGAGACCAGTGTGCGCACGCGCGTGGGAGGGGTTCGCCTCCTCCTTGGCTGAATGCAATCAAGAGACGAGAGAGAGAGATAGAGAGAGAGAGAGAGAGAGAAAGAGACAGAGCGAGCGAGAACTGGGCGTTGCGCTCGCCCGCGGTGGTAGGGGTTCGACCTCTACCTTAGACTCCTTGCAAGCAAGCAAGCGAGAGAGAGAGAGAGAGCGAGAGAGAGAGAGAGAGAGAGAGAGAGAGAGAGAGGGAGAGAGGGAGAGAGCAGGGCCATGGACAAATTCAACGAGAGCGCCGAGCTTAAGAACAAACGAAGGCACAAGGCCCCCCATCCGGCATCAACAGAAGGCAGGCGTGGAAGGAGGTACAAAGCCTTCATCGCCAAGAACTCAAGCGGTGGCACACCAAGCTCAACGAGGCAGCCAGCAAAAAAGACTGGCGAGCCTACCGAGCACAAAAGCAAATGGCCCGCACTCGAGAATGGGAACACTACCTCCTGGACGACGAGCACTGGCAGGACACCATGGGACAACACTTGGAGGGCATCTTCTACAAAGAGGACCCCAGGACCGTGACGGCTCAGATGCACACCATGCGGGAGGAGCTGACCCGAATCTGCAAAACAACCGCATGGCACCCCTTTACAATTGCCGAGCTCCAAGTCACCCAGGGTCGATGGCCGCGGAGAAAGTCTGCGGGACCCGACGGCATCATACACGAAGCTCTCTCTGTACTCATGCAGAACGACAAGTGCATGCACCGAATCCTTTATGTGCTCAATGACGCCTTTTACCGAGGCACACTCCCAGAGCTCCTTGAAAAAGGAGTAACGGTGCTGCTCCCCAAAACTGGGGCACCAGATGGCTGGCCAGACACACGGCCAATAACGGTGTCATCGGCAATGCTGAAATGGATTGCACAACTCGTCTTGTACCGCACCCAGCACCTCTTCGACCCGATCTGCAAACTTCAATGGTGCGCCAAAGGCAGACAGTCTGTCGAGATGCTGCTAGTGATACGGAAAATAGCTAGGATGGCACGCGACTGGGGCGGACCCTTCTACATGATAAAAATCGACGTGAAGAAGGCTTTCGACTCCGCCACCCAGACCAGCATGGGACGGCTCGTGCAAAAGCACATCGGAGAACGAGGACACCCCTGGGAGGCCCGCATTTGGCTATCCTTGTTACATGCCACAGAGATGAACATTCAGTTCGGTGGCACCAGCATCAAGATAACCCAAAGCAACGGAGTTCGCCAGGGAGGACCAGACTCGCCCGTGGCATTCAGCGCCTTGGTGGGGGACACCCTCCTTCAGATTCAATCGAGAGTGACCATCAGTGCGTGGGGACCCAACGAGAAACTACCCCCTCCGCCGCACCACACCTCCGGGTACATGGACGACGTCTACGTGTGGGGGGAAAACCCACGACACGTCCAGCAGGTAGTCGACCTCCTGGAAAAACTCTTTGCGGAGCACGGGCTCTACGTGAACCACAAGAAGACCTGCGCCATCGCCAACGAAGGAGAACACGTCTTCACAGTTGGAGGACACGCCGTCAAAACGGAGGGACCAGACCACGCACTTACAGTGCTTGGGTCACCTGTCTCCTTTGCGGGCGGATCCGCGATCCTGGCAGCAGAGCTCTCGTCCCGCGCCCGCAAGGCGTTCTTCGCCAACAGGAAGACGCTCTGCGCGGACACGCCGATCGCAAGCCGGCTTAAGGTCCACTCGGCCATAGTCCGGGAATCAGCCTTGTGGGGCGCACCCACGTGGCCGCTGCACGAAAGCCTGCTAAAGTGCGCCAACAGCATCCAACTGCAGCAAGTGCGGACCATGCTGAAGATGCCAAGACGCCCAGGAGAGGATTGGGTAACCTGGAATATGCGGACACTCAGGCAGGCCAGACTTCTTCTGCACAAGCACGAATGCCCCAGATGGAGCACCCGAGCGCTAGAAGCAGTGTGGCGACTATGGGGGCACATTGGAAGGGCTCAGGACCGCACCACACTTGAGCTCCTGACGTGGCGAGGAATGCACTTCTGGGCCTCAGAACAGCGCAAGCCGCCGACCATAGGAGCACGACATGCAGGACAGTTCAACCCCCACATGGATGTGGAACGACACATCTGCAACAACGCCGGATCCACAGAATGGTGGGTCGTGGCCCAAAACAGAGCTGAATGGGAACAACGCCTGGAGACTTTCCTGGCCAAACATGACACCCCCTGGGCCACAGGCAAACAAGCAGCACTTACCAACCTCGCACCCAATGCCAAGCAGAGAACCGGTCGGAGGAGAGCCAGGGCCATTGCAAATGAAGGCTGACCCAGCCAGACACACAGTGACCCCAGCTTTCACCGACCCACCCTTCGGCCCTCACCCCCCACTCCTACTGAAGCTCCCTACTCACACAGCTCCACATGTACATGGTTTCACAGTGTTTTCACGCAACCAGACACAGCTCCACCCCTGCCACTCTGCAGACTGGAGACATGCGCAGACATAGAGGGAATGAGGAGAGAGATCGGTTTCATTGCGTTGCAAGAGTACCAGTTCGTTGCCACATGACAGTCATGTACACGCTTTGCAAGTGATGTGTGAGCACCTGCGGCGAGAACCTCAGTTGACAATGCCCGCCGCCCTGCAGCTCGAAGCGTACCCCGAGAGCACCTGCCTAAGCAGTACCCGACTTGCCTGAAGAGCATCATGAAGCTCGCTTGACGCAACACACCCCTCACTGTGGACGTCAGACCCCTCTGATGCTACCACCCACTGGGCGGAACCCCCGCACTCAGCACAGCCGGTGCCACCTACTGACCCGCCTGCAGCGCACACAGCAGCCACCTGGGATGCCCTCTCAAGCGCCGCCTACCTCTACGGTGGCATCCAAACACAGCAGTCAGCTACAGCCACGCACACCCCACAGCAGCAGCAGGCCGCTGATGACACCGACCCGGCTAGTGGGTCACAACACACTCAGCACCACCACCACAGCCAAGGAGGAGGGCGAGGGGCACAGAGACAAGCAACCCGCGGCAGAAAGGAATGGATCAAATCCATGTTCCTTAAATACAACCTTCACAAGCCCAACGCCATGAGCTGGATCGATGCGGAACCGATCCTTTGGAGGTATTGGTATACCAGCAGCCCACCTCCCCAGCCCCCCCCACAGACATACGAGAGCTCCTTCAAAAGGCAAACGCATGGATGAGGGGAGAGGAGCACCTGCAGCCACCGACGCCCGGCAGCCAGTCGGACGCCTCACAAGCAACTACAGCCACAGCCGCAGCCACCACCCAAGGGGGTGGACCAACCCAAGGCACCAAGCAGCACACGGCAGCCGAGCAGCGGTACCAAGAACGACTTCAGCAGGAGGAGGCACGCACCACGGCAGCAGGAGACACTACAGACCCGGCCTCAGCAGCATCCGCACAACAACCACAAGACCCCACCCAAAACAACCGCCACCGCCACGGCCACAGCCACAGCCACAGCCGCCACCTTCGACATTCCAGCCTCCACCATTCATCCTCCCAACACGGGAGACACAACAGCCCAGCCAGGGGGCACCAAGCAGGACACGGAAACCCGACGCATACATGAGGAGCGGCAGCAGGAAGACCATACCACCACAGCAGGCGACAGCCCAGTTCCACTCGCGCCTCAACTAGACCACCGGGCAACCGGGGCAGATCACCCACAGTTGCAGTCGCGCCCACAACAACATCCACCACCACTGAGTGAGCAACCCACTGCCAACAACAACGGCGGCGACCCCCAGGCACCACAACCACCACAACCACCACAACAGCCAGACACGGAAGCAGCGGAAGACAGAGACGAACACAGCAGCGTGCACCCCTCCACCTACGACATTCACTGGACACAGGGGCACCAAACCTTCTTGCTCCGCCGGCCTAATAACCAGACTTGGCTTCCAGACACCTTGCCCCCAGCACTCCCAGTGGGACCGATAGTAGCCAACCTGGCGCATGCAGAAGCAGCCGGCATCTGGCTCATGGGATCGGTCCGGCACATGGTGGTCGGAAACCCGCCGGACATCCCGAGGCACACAGGAGCACAAATAGCCGTGACACAGACCGAACCCACGATGCACCAATTCATCGGGTTAGGGACGGCTTTTTTCCTGCGCCCTCTGGGGAGGCTGCACCGCAGGGAACCCGAGGCCTGGCATGTACGCGTCGTGGATGCGCCGCGGGCCGTGAGCCAGGGGGCACTCAGGTACCAGAAGGGGGAGCACTTACTCCTTCTCTGGACGAGACAGCAGTGGCAATGGCATCCATGGCGAGATGAGTACCTCCTCCGATTTGGAGGATACTCACTAGACCTGCCCACTCCTGCTTCGGGCAGCGCCGACAACACACCAACGACAGACGAGCCAGCCCAGAGCAGCACAGCAGGACAACCACCACAACCACCGAACGAGGCACCAACCTCCACCACTGACCAGACCGCCAGCAGGACCAAGCACCACAGCCACAGCCAGAACAAGTGCCCAGCGAGCCAGCACGCTCCAAAGCCCCGCCGCCTGGCATACACCCCCCGCAGGGGCCCACACCTGGAGCAACAGCAGATGCACAGCTGGACCCGGGAGACCTCAGCGAAACTTCCTGGCCCAGCAACGAACCTGCAGACCACGTGGAGCTGATGCAGCGTAGAGCTCGGCGGTTTAGGGCACCAACCCTCACTGAAGCTACAGCAGCTATGGCAGAAGCGAGGTGGTGCCTCCTCCGGCTCCTAGACACATCCCACCCGGGAGAGATACAAGCCTACGCACAGCAAGCGCTGGTCGCCCTACAACCAGAGGAAGCACCCGCACAGCAAGCACCAGCCAGCAGCAGCCAGGCACCACCACAACCACTGCTCAACACAAACACAAGCCCACCACCGCCAAACCCGCACCACATTGCTGCCCACCTGCTGCAGCTACAGCTCGACCTACTAGCAGCGGTCGAAGCAACGGGAAGCCACACAGCCACAGCTGAAATAGTCCACGACCTGCGGGAGGTGGACCGCCTTTTGAGAGAAGGCACTCAGCGCTTCCACTCGCACAGAAAGGCGAGGAACTGGGGAGCAGCGCACAGAGGAGAGAACTTTGCGGAAAGAGCTGAGGAGTTGCTCCACAACGTCCTCCAGGCCACGGAAGGGCAGCAGCGAGTACCCGACCACTTCAGGGACAGCCTGGATAGGGTGGTGCACCTCTGCAAAGAAGCGTCGGAGGCACACGCCGAAGCTTGGGGGGCACCAGGCGAAGAGCAACAGAACCTGGACCAAGCGGCGGAGATGACAGCACCTCTCCAGAAGAAGGCGAGGCTCAACGAAGACCCACACCAGGCCGATGTGGTGGCACACGCTGGAGGACAGCCCAGCTCCCCACCCTTGGGGGACCAGACACCAGAACTGCCACTGCAAGCGCTCTACATGCTCCGCCGCCTCCAGCCTTTCTTGCATGGGCAGATGCACGAAATGGTGGAATCGGCCATCTGCGACCTGATGCAGTGGTCGACACAGTTTTTCGGAGCACCAGTGGAAGTGGTACCCGACGAGAGCGAGGACTCCACGGCCACGGCAGTGGAACCACTCCCTGAACCTGCTCCAGAAGCTGACCAGGGAGTACCTCAACAACGAGCGCTACTACACGACCGCCCTGAACCTGCCCAAGAACAAGGCGCACCCGCTCCCAAAACGACGACAGAGCCGGACGACGACCAAGCCAAACCGCCTGAGCTGAGACCGGGGGCACCTGCAGCTGACCAGGGAGTACCTCAACAACGAGCGCTACTACACGACCGCCCTGAACCTGCCCAAGAACAAGGAGCACCCGCTCCCAAGACGACGACAGAACCGGACGACGACCAAGCCAAACCGCCTGAGCTGAGACCGGGGGCACCTGCTTCGACAACGGCAACTGAAGGACCCGGAGTGGCACCTACTCAAGACGAGGAAAACGCCACAGTACCGTGGCACGCCCCGTCGTTGGAGCATGAACCCCAGCAGTGCCCGCAGCCTGGGGAAGCAGAAAGTGACTGGGGCACGCCTGGAGCACCACCTCTACAATCGCGGGGGCACCCTCCGGAAGACGAACTGAGTGCTACTGCAGTGCTACTAGCCCAGTGAGCCACAGAAGGCGTAGGCTGCTAGCAGCACTGACTGACGACTGAGATACCAACCCTACAGTGCCCCCTCTCGGTTGTGCACTAGGCATCTTTTGACTCCTTTTGCACAGTGGGGGCACACCTCAAGTCGAGTCCGAGCTGCAGTAGAGGCTTCAGGGTTGAGCGGAAGGTCGGAGGCAGTGCGGGGATCAGGCTTCCGTTCGGTTTCAGGCAGGGTCAGGCAGGTAGGCTGGTTTGGAGTACAGTTGAACCAGTGAGGCACCAGGGGCAGCAAAGGGGCACCAGGGACCGATGTCCTTTAGGCTACTCTCATCGTCTACTTGTTGTGGCAAAGGTGCACCAACCCCTGGCGTTCCTCTGGCTACCTAGAGGTACCAGCCAGTGTCACAAAGCCTAGCCCACCTTTCCGCAAAAACTTTTCTACCCTGTGTTGGTGACGAAGCGGAGAGAGGGGTACCAGCCCAAGTGAGGTTTAAGGGTCGAGTGGCAGGTCGAAGGCAGTGCTGTGCTGGGGTCAGGCTTCAGTTCGGGTTGAGGCAGGGAACAAGGTGGGGATACAGGCAGAAGGCAGGGCACACACGAAACAAGGGGCACCCGCGGAACACTTTGGCTACTCGCTTGTTTGGTGTACACTCGTGTGTACTTTAGGGTCGTACTTTCCTTTTGTTGCACAACGAGAAACGGGAGCCCCGAGTCGCAGAAAGTGTAGTGGGAACCCAGTGGTGTTACATTTTACTGACTGGCTGTTTGAAATGAGGGACCCACTCACTGCCGAGCCCTTCCACTCTAAATAGTGGATGGGGTAGCGCGCTCGCGCGGGGCGGGAGGACTGCTCCTGCCCGAAACCCCGAGCAAAGCAAAGCAAAGAGGGAGAGAGAGAGAGAGAAGGAAAGAGATGGGCACAAAGCTTCTGGACGAGTGATGCAGAGAGTTTTTGGACCCAACTTTCTGAATTTTGATGTGCTGTTGGGTTGTTCTTCACAATCGGGGAGCCCATTACTCCAGCACCAATCCCTCGTACAGTCAAGCCCATCCTGCCAAAATGGTGGATGTGGCAGCTCGACCGAGCGGGCTGGGGGGTGAGCCCCCCCGTCCAAGCTGCCCGAGCAATGCAAAGAGAGAGATAGTGCCTGTGTGTGTGTGTGCGTCCGTACGAGCGTGCGTGGGTGCATGCCTTCGTACCTGGGTGCATGTATGCATGTGCGCGTGCGTGCGTGTGTAACTGTGCGTTTCAGACAGGGCTCCCGATCGGTGCGCTGCAAAGAAAGATAAAAACTTTTGGAGTGGTCCCGCGGCAATTGACCATGAGGTTGGGCATCGAGACCGGCTGTGTCGGTGTGGTCGCCGCTGACACCAGTGCCTTTGCCTTGTTGTCGGTGGACTCTGGGAGCTTTAGCACGATGCTCGTTTGGGGGCCGTATGGGCCATTGGCAGCAGCAGCCAGTTTGCATCCAGGAGTCTTCGCACCTAGCGCAGGAGCAGATATCGAGTCTTGAAAAGAGAGTCCACCGGTTGCCCTCCCTGGGCCAGATCTCTTCATTACGTTCACCGCGGACAGCTGCAACGTTGTATGTGTTCTTGGCTGCAGCAGTGCTTGTGTAGGCATCAGAAACGTGTGCGGCCACATGCTGTGCAAGGTGGCGATGGCATTCGGCACGTCGTAGCTGGTGAGGACAGCCTCTTTGTATGCCAAGGCAAGAGAGTAACGGTCTGAGCCAGCTTGATCTCCAATGTCCCGAGGAATGCGACGATGGAAACTTGATTGACGGCGACGGTTGCTCAAGGCTCGACGCAGCGAGGTTTAGAGCCGTGCTTGCAGCATGCTGTTCCCAGGGACTGCCACATCGAAGCGGGCTTCACATGTCCGACGCAAGGGTGGCCATCTGCCCTGGCCTTACAAAGCCCTCTCGACAATCCAAGAGTTCAGAAACTCTGAAGCCTGTTGACAGGTGCTGCTGACCCCTTGTGTGCCAATTTGTGGGGATGGCCTGCGAGTCGGCGACGAGGACTCTTTGTGCGTGCCTGCCACATCTGTGGATTTTCCAACGGCACCTTGTGGTGAGACGGAGTTTGGTCTTGTGCAAAGGATATGGGCTCGCTTGTCCTTCCCGACGCAATCCTTCTCTCTCTCTCGGCGAATCCTGTGCACCAAAAGTTCTGTAGGTTGTGCCTTCACAAGGACTGCGACGACAACAACACAGAGCCTGGTGATGGCTGCAGTTCGACCTGCGAGGCCGAGGAGGGGGGGAGGGGCTTCGGCTTGCCGGCGTGTTGCCAATCCCCCCCGCACTGAACTGAAGCGATTAAGTGTCCAGGCCCAGGCCCCTTCAGGGTCTTGTGTTTTGCGGATGAAAGCTGGACAGTAAAATTCAGGACTGGCAACTCTGTCACGCATGCCGTCACGCACCTGCGAAGCCTCTGTGGCAGGTGGAAATTGGCTGGTTTTGCAAGCGAGCTGGCACCGGCGTGGGCGTTGAGGCCAGGGCACCGGCTTCGTCAGTCGAAGGTTTGCCTATGGCTGGATCCGGACAAAAGGGTCGGGAGACTGTGGGTGTACTTTCGTTGCAAAGGGTTAAAAGAACGGAGGTGAGGGGGTCGCTCCAAGTGCCTCCAAGTGGGCGTGTCTCGAAATCGAACCACAAGGCTCATGGGCCAGGACAACGATGCTCTAAGGTCTGGGTCGACACACCAACAATGCTGCAACAGTGCCTGCACCACTATGCATTTCACAGGGCAGCCATGGGCAAATTACGCACCGTGATTTAACTGTGAATTCAGAACACGGAAATCTCCTACTAGTAGTATTGATATTTCAACCCTGGATGACAAACGTTGGAACTCTTGTGATGACGCGGACACGGCTTTTCTTATGGCGAGGTGTGTCGCCAGACCTGCTTGAATGGCATCATTGACCCCGGAGAAGATTGTGACGATGCCAACACGGCCGCTGGTGCATTCAAGGTTTTGCTTTCATGATGTGAACAGGTGAGCTCGTGAAAAAGTGCAAAACATGCGAACACGGCATGCATGATCCGAGTTCAAGAACGACGGGTGTGCCAACTGCATCCTCGAACCGGGATGGAGATGCTCTGGGCCCAGCGAGAGATGCACACATGTCCTTCGAAGACCTCCTTCGTGCCGCTTCATCAACATGTGAGTCATGTGAGAAAGCAAGTCCCAGTTCGGTTCTCTTAACTAAGCTGAGCAGAGGCGTCGTTTCCGCCGCCTCCTCACATACACTTATATATGGGTACAGGTGCACACATACACAGATGTTTGGGTACAGTACACGTACGTGGTATGTGTGTGGAGACAGATAGCTAGATACATAGGTACACTGATGGTGAGCGTCTGTTTGCAAACTCATTGACTCATTTAGTCACCGGGCACTCATACAAATGGTTTGCGCTCCGGCGGCGCCCCTCGCCGGCATCCCTGCATAGTGTCATTCCCCTCCCCGCATGGTTGTGCATGCTATCATCCCCCTCAAGTTGTGGAACGGCCGGGGTCGGTGGCGGGCGCAGAATGTACAGCGTACAACCATCAATACATGTAAAACATACAAATGATAACAGAAGAGTATGTATATACATACATATATATATATATATGTATATACCCACATGCATACACACACACGCACGCACACACACACACACACACGTATTGTGTGTACATAGATACACATGTACATGTATATGTTTATATATATATGTATATATATATATATATCATATATATATATATATACATACATACATACATACATACTATATGTATACATGTATTCATATCCACATACATAATTAGGCACCTACAACAAAGATCATGTACACATGCATGTGTATGTTTGGTACGCACGTGTATATGTATATGTGTATGCTTATGTATGTGTGTGTATATATATATATATATATGTACTTATGTATATATGTATAGATGCGTAGATGTATATATATATATATATATATGTATATTTGTATGTGTGTATATATATATATATATATATATATTTGTATATATGCAGTAGTATGCATTTATATGTACATATGTAAGAAAGTGTATATGTGTACACGTGTACATGTTTGCATGTCCATGTTTATATATGTATACATGTGTACAGATACATCTGTACATATGTATATATATGTGTATATGTATATATATATATATATATATATATACACATGTGTGTATATGTATACATGTACATACTTGTTCGTGTATGTACTCAAGTATGTATTTTTTAATTAAGATTTGCATTCATGTATATCTGTGTATGTATATACACACATGTATACACGTATAAAGGGTAAACTTGTGTTTGTGTACACGTGTTTTTCTGCATATAGGTATGTGGGTATATAGGGACATATGTGTATATATGCACATATGATATATGCATACATGCATATATGCATTTATGCATGTATGCATATGTCGATATGTGCATACGTGTATATGTGTATCTGGGCAAATATGTCTATGCTTACATATATGTATATGTGCACATGCACCTACGCGAACATACGTGCATACATATTTACACACATACACACATGTCAACACGCTCTATCGCACAAAGTCAGGTGAGCCGATTCAACATCGCTTCACCAGCACATCCTCGGGCAGCCTGTGCATGCCCGTTTGTGGAGATGGCTTCCGCATCGAGCCGGCGGCAAGCAGACAGTTCAGGGCCGTGCCATCTCAGGACGGACTCACTGCTGGACTCAGGCTTGGGGCTGCGGCAGAGGAGTGCGACGATGGGAACAACTTGGTCAGCCCCTCACTCTCGCAGCGAGCGGAGACGTTGAGATCGGCGGTGCTTGTGAGAGGCGGGCGACGGCTGCGACCCGGTTTGCCACGTCGAAGTTGGTTGGCACACGAAGGTCCAGGCCTGGGCGGCCAGAGGGGCGGCCAGAAGGGCCCAGAGATCCGAGAGCCGAGATATATCAAAGGAAGCACCGCCGGCGGCTGTTTGTGTGTGTTTGAGCCAGGCAAATTCAAGCAAGCTGCTGCTGGAATCCATCTGCGGCGATGGCCTTGTATTGGGCAGCGAAGGTTGCGATGACGGCAACCTGGACACCTTCGCAGAGTCAGCTTTGCAGTCAAGTTGCGCGCTTCGGACAAGGGTGATCATGCAGCTTTGTTGCCAGTCCGCAGGATGCTGGGGACGGATGCAGTACCGCGTGCAAGGTGGCGGTGCCCTCAAGAGCGGACGGACCCGAAGCTTGCAACACAGCCGAAGATGGTGCGCCTCTGGCAAAGGAGCCTGGCTTCGCTTGCACTCCTGAAGATGCCATGACGAAGCCGGAGGCACCGATCAAAAGCCTGTTGCAAGAGTTGAACGGCACTTGGGCCGGTGGGCAGGCAGCGGCTGGGCCACCGTTTGCCGCTCAAAACAGGTAGGATGCAGGGCTGTGAGGGTTCTGATCCAGAGATTTGCACCGGCAGCCTACTCGAAAGAAGTTTTTCGAGGAGCATTTGTGTGCCTGTGTGCGGTGATGGCGTGGTCTTGGTCGGCAACGGAGAGGAGTGCGATGCCTTGACCTCAGTACGAATCAGAGAGAAGATCCAAGACCTCAAGACTCCAGCGTGCCACGCTCAGGATGGAAATCGTGTTCCAAATGATGGTTGCGCCTCAGTCTCAGATCCACCCCTCTGCCTGCACAGCAGACGTCCGCATGTCAAAGACCTACAGACCCACAGACAGGACGAGAATTGCCGAGTGGAAAGTGGCTATGCCTGTGGCATCCAAAGCGGAGGCGCAGCCTGAGCCGCAATCTGCAGCCAGAGTTTGCAACCGTCTCGGTGGCACCCCTCAAAGCATGGGCTGTGCTGTGGCAGGTGCTTCGTCGCTGACCCGGTCCGTCTGCACGCCCGTCTGCGGCAGTCTCAGCCTGGGCCAAGCATGGTGGAGTGAGAGAGGCCAGCCGTGTAATTGTCGGCGAGGTGGAGATGGATTGTTGCGGGCACCAGAAGAGTGCGACGATGGAAACGATGGGAAGGGAGAGTGGTGCTTGGATGCTTGTAGCTTGCGTCCCTGGAAAGTTTCCGAGATGCCCACTATGCCTCCGTCACCAGATGCTTCATTCTTCCGAAAGTCCCATGCACCTGTTCTCAACGGTTTGCCGAGGATGGATGTGACCAGCTCTGCAAGCTTGAAGAGGCCTCCAGTTTTGTGAGATGCTGGGAAAAGGGGGTTTAAGAGGGTCGGATTTTCCGAAGGACTGTGATGCAGTGTGGCTGCTTCTGCTTGTGCTTTTATTGACATTGCCAAGGAGCATGGGGCGGCTCGTGAAAATGAGGGCTTGGGTTTGTGGATGTTGCTGTTTGTGGCACAAGACTGGTCGCCCTGGCCAGCGCGTCCCGTTTGTAGTTTATATGGGCGATTCCTTCTAGCCTGCTGAGTTCGGGTTGCGAACACGGTGTGCTTCCTTGCGGAAAGTCTTCAAGGGGTCGTGTGTTCCAATTTGGCATTCGTGCACGCGCACATGTTGGTTGATGGATGGGTGACGTGATCTACAACACAAGCACAATGGAGAACACGATGTCGATGATAATTCTAGGAGACTGAGATGGACACATCTATTTCCGTGCCAGGTATAAGTATGTCAGTCACGAAGACTGGCATACACAACTAAACGAAGTAAACGTCACGGGGGTTTGGTTTCGGCCCAGCCACGCTGGAGCAATGAACGAAAAACGACAAGTACTCCCCCAGCTGACCTCGCAGGCGGCCAGGGCGGACATGCCCAGGTACGCGTTTAGTAGTAGTAGTAGTAGTAGTAGTAGTAGTAGTAGTAGTAGTAGTAGTAGTAGTAGTAGTAGTAGTAGTAGTAGTAGTAGTATTAGTCGTAGTAGTAGTAGTAGTAGTAGTAGCAGCAGCAGCAGCAGTAGTAGTAGTAGTAGGGGTGGGGGTAGGGGTAGTGGTAGTGGTAGTATGTGGTAGTGGTAGTGGTAGTGGTAGTAGCAGCAGCAGCTCGCCCTTTGCCAGCACAAGGTTTGGCAAATGCATCTGGGTTTTAGGTTTTGGCACCAGCGCAACATCACCTTGTCGGGTTTTGGGTCCAGCCACCAACAGTTTCTCTTGGGATTCTGGAGTTCTCAACCAACATCGCCTTTTAGGTTGGTGGGGCTTGGCAACCAATCGCCATCTCCTTATTGGGATTTAGGCTTCTCAACCAACATCTCTTTTTTAGACGTTGGGTTTTATGGGTTTCTCAAGCAACATCTCCTTTTGGGGTTCTGGGTTTCGATGATGTTGCTGCTGATGATTATGATGACGATGCCGGTGCATAATGCATTTCTGCGTGTGCCCAAAACTCAGGAAATCAACAAAAGAGCCCCCAAAGTGCGCAGGGCGGGAAAGCCCAAAACTCGAGATGGGAGCAACTATTACATCAACATACCAACACACACACACACACACACCAGCCTTTTTGCTTTTTTGACGGAAGTGCCGTTCTCGTCGGCAATCGGCAAACTAACGAACCACCGCGCCTGCCCCGCATGAAAGAGAGAGGCAGACGCCTACTGCGTAACGCTCCTTGCGGGAAAGCCCAAACCCGAAATAGAGCAACCTGCGCTAAACAATCCTGGGTTTTTGGACAACCGATGGAAACCGGCAAGCTCACCAACTACGATGCTGTCACGTATTTTCAGCTAGCGAGGTCGTGCCACACATGTGGTGCGGGTAAACGATAAGCTTCGGGCGCTGTAGTAGTGGAAGAAGAACAGCTGTACCAGGTAAGGGATATGCGCGGCCTGAAGCCGGATAATCGTACATAGCAGAGGCTGACGCATTCTTTTCTTCGTTGCGAGATTCGTCCGAGCAAAAATCAGGACCTCGCCCATAGTGACAAGGGAGCTCGTGTGCTGCACATTCATTATAATATAAACCTTAAAATCATCCTGGGAGCAGCTCTACATGACTGGAGAATGAATTCGCTGTTGTCCTCCTGAATCTTGATTGCCCGCTGCCACTAGCAAAGAGCCGGAGGCCTCCTACCGTCCTTCAATACGACATCATATACGCCCACTCCTCTCCTCAGATCTTCATGACAGGTGCAAACAGCTACATGCTTGTTGACAAACAAGGAAACAGCTCCATCACAATTTGAGCACGCTAGATCTTCCATCCTCCGTGCAGGGAACATTGGTAACTGAAAATGCGAGTGTTCATGTGTTCCCGAAGAGTCTCACTATTGGCGTTTACAGCAATGAGAAGAAAGACGAAGAAGGGTTGTGTCTATTTCTTATTGACAGTTAATAGCAGCTTTTTTTGATACAGTGCTACCAGTAAGCGCAAAATAGCATGGGTCGGGTATGCTGTATGCTGCTGCCAGGTAGAAATTGGAGCTCCCGTTATTTCGTACGGTTCGACAAGCAGAAATAGCAGACTTACTGCACAGGATGATGCAGGTCAAAGAGTGCCGAGTTGGGCTGGATGTTATAGGGGCCGAGCCGTCTTTCCGTCTGCTTCTGGGGAACTCCGAGAACGCACCAAACTTTCTGCCGGAGCAGAGCCTATTTTTCATTCACGACGCAGCATCCAGTCTTGCAGGGACGCTTAGCGACCGTCTTTGAGAACAGACATTTTGTCTGGCTTTAGAAGCTGTGCCATTGCACATTCTACATGTAGAGGGAAATGCCCTGCCGCGGACGGCAAAGCAGGCACCTTTACTACCTTCGTCACGAATGACCAAGCGAAGTAATTAGTAAGAATATCATTAACAAAAGCTGCGACAAAACGCCCATGTGCATGCAAGGCTGTACTCATCACGTGACTTCTCCCTCAGCTCTGAATCAGTACCCAGGAGCAGTGGCTTAATCATCTCGAACGAGACCGAGAAGATAATTGTTGCATCGTGCATGCTGCATCTGACGTGTATCAAGAGTCTGTATGGCTTTATCATTGTCACCAATCATGGAAACCGGAGCGGAGCCTTAGGGAATGTAAACGGATCCTGGTGCCAAGCACTCCTGGCTTCTCTCGTTTTGCTACATGGCCCTGTCAGCACGAAGGTTGGCGTCTTGTTGTTTTCGCAAGTGAAAAGTGAGGAGTTACTTCCCTCAAACGACCCAGAGGGCCCAAGCCCCTGTTTGCCCACAACCGCTGCAGCATGTCGCGTCGTCTGTGGACTGGCCAGGGTTATCGTTGTTGGCCACCTGGGGCCAGGCTCTTAGCACGAGCCCACCAAAGCTGTGAGCTGTTGAAGGGAATCGGAATATGGGATTTTGGAAGAGCAGCTTCGTGCTGCCGAATCTCAGGTCATTGACCTTTGCGTGGGGCTGCTAATTGTCGCTGTCAGTTTAGCACACGTAGGCCAACCCCATACGCCCGGTACGTTCACACTAGCCTTGAGTCAGCATCCGCAGCAGCTTGTGGCTTAAGAGCCAGTTTTCCTGTTCGCCTAGGCTCCCCTTCACTTCTCTGTGCCCTGCAGCCGGAACTGCGTCCGAAGTTGCTTTCCAACGGATGTTGCTCAGGCAGCCTGCCGGCAGCTTTGTGGCGATTATTTGCGCTTGGAGGGGGAGGAGAAACAGCCGCGACATGGGGATCTCGTCTAGCCCAGGTTTCCAGTGTAGGCTACGGGCTAGCCAAAACTTCTCTGGATGATGTTGTGTAACTAAGACGGAGCATCTTTCCGATCGTGCCCAGACGACTTTGCGCCCCGTCAGCCAGTTTGAGTCGCCGACCAGTTTCGGGGTAGCAGGAGTGCGACGACGGCAACCTACTTTTGGCAGATGGCTGCGACAGCAGTTGCCATGTGGAGGTGTCCGTCAGATCCTCCGTGACCACGGCTTTCCCTTTCACATCTCTTCTTAGTTCTTACGGCTCTCCCTGCTTTGTCCGCAGGTCGGGTGGACGTGCCGCTCCTATGTCTACGGGCCCACGAACGCGACATCTGTTTGTTCTCCGATCTGTGGAGATGGGATGATCAACGGGGCAGAGGCTCTGCAAATGTGAGATTTCATGCTTCTGGGGAGTGCCGGTCGCACGGCCTTTGTTTTGCTACAGACCAGCGACTACGTCTTGGCTGCAGGACATGTGATTGCTCAAGCAGATTGCACATGTGCTCTCCTAACCTCCGTCGGCGAAGCTTGGTCCCATGCCATGGCCTCCAGAGCCCGTGGCCTAGACTTCCAAGCTCTGGACGTTCCACCCTCGTCATGGGGTGATGCCGCTGCAGTAAGCCCGACTGCTACAGATGGCAGTTTCATTGTTTTCTTTCCTGGTGTTGGGTTCAAATACCTGGACCTGTCGCTAGGCAACTCTTCATGGAGAGACGGTGGGCACTTCTCAGGTGCCATTGCTTCACACATCGGCATGCTGCATCATCAAGCCGGAGACTCTTGCTACATATCCTTTGCAGAGACGCCACCAAAGTCCTGGGCATGCTACCAGCTTGTCTGCAAAGATGGCAAAGCTCCATCTCCACAACTGTCAGAGAGGTTGTGCCTGCCAGGTGAGATCCGTGCCGCTTGTGATGCCGGTGATGGCTTTGCGGCTCTCGCAATCTCAAGTGGCCAGCTCCGTTTTGTGGACCTAGCAAGTGGTAAAGGTGGCAAAGGCCTTAAGCTCGGCGAAGCCAAGAAATGCGTGGCACTGACGCGACTTGCAAAACGAAAGGTTCTGATGGTTCGTGATCGAAGCATCGGACCGGAGTTTCTGATCATCGAGCAGGACGAATTCCAGGCAGTGTCCTTGCAGAGAAGGGGCATGCTTCACACGAGCTCCATCAGTCCTGTGGGACCGCTCGAATCGGTGGTGGTAACCCACGAGGAAGAGGAACGTGTCCTGCTTTGCTGGCGCGAGCCAGTCATGATGAATGGAGGTACACCCAACGGCCACACTGAGCAGGGAACGGTGTGCCACGTAGCCACGACCACCCTGAGTGACAAAGGCAATCTGGTACGGTTGCCCGAGCCCTCAGCGAGTTGCCAAGTGGCAGCCATCGCAAGCTACTACGCCGAATGGCACCGTGAAGGAAGCAGATTAGCATTCCACCTGCGGGACGCTCGCTACGGCCTAGCTGTGGCATCAGGGCAGGCATCAATCCAGATCGAATCGAAGTCACAGCAGCACACTGTCTCCACACAGACGGCCGGCTCGGTGACCTTAGTGTACTCTGGCGGAGGCTACGCAGCCATCAAGTGGCAGCTGCCCCTCTTTTCACTCAGGGGCCTAGTTGCTAGGCGCTCCGATGAAGAATCGCGCCAAGTACGAAGAGCACTGGATGGGGGTGCAGCTGCTTTGAGCCGGAAACGCAAGCTTGATGAAGGGAATGGACTTAAACAACTCTCCATGCAAGGCCTGGCAGAACTGGTGCGTCGTTGCGGCGCCTTGCAGAAAGACGATGTCGCACTGCTGAAGGCTTGTCTGAAGCCGGAAGACCTACACTCCGTCACCAAGACCCTGCTGAATTGGCTGCGCTTACATCAAGGCATACCTGCAGCGGAGATAAAGAAAGTCGCTCCGAGGATGCCGCGACTCGCTTCGATCGTGTCTTTCCTGAAGGCAATGGTTGATGCCTTCCTGCCAGTGATGAGCGCCACCGGTGCGGGTGTGGCGCCAGAGGACATCGAGGCGGTCCTCGAACGGCTGGTCGTTGCGCAGGGTGCTTCCCGGCGAGGCGAGAAGCTCTACGCACGAGCCCGTGAGGCATGTAGGCGCCGGGAAAAGCCTCGAGCGAGCGAGGTCACGAAGAAGAACCTCGAGATACAACGGAAGCTGAAAGCTCCGAAAGTGGAGATAAGTGTCTTGAGGTTTTGAGACATCTCATGTTTCACCCGTAGGCGTTTGCACAAAAGCATGGCTGCGGGGGCTGGTGGTGTCTCCTGCTCCGTTGCTTTCGGGTTTTGTCAGGCCTGCGATGATGGCAATCTGGTGCCAGGCCGAGCAAGGGAAGACCTGAGCCCAAGACCTGAAGCCATGTCAGGCCCAGCCCCGGCCCAGCAAAGAAGCAGCAGCACCTGGGGAACCTGCGATCAAGCATGATCAAGCCATTGCCGCGGCTGTCACCGACGAAATGTGCAGGTGATGGATGTGACGGAACATGCCAAGTTGAGGCAGCGCCGATGCAGGGTTTGAGGGTGCAGTCTATCTGCAGTTTTTTTGTTCATGTCCGAAGTCTCCCGACGCAGGTCAACTACGTCTGCTGCGACCCGACGCCAGCGAGTTCAGGCTGGGATGAGGAATAGCCCGAGTGCGACACTCTATCCGATTTTCCGGAGAGTGCAGCGAATGCATTCAAGAAAGAGTTGACCCCTCTGTTGGTGGCATCCTTCGCCCTTCGCCATAGGCTCCAGTTGCGTCCCTGGGCTTGCTGCAGACCGGGAACTCATCTGCGGAACACCAACGTGTGGCCGGGCCCCGAAGTCCAAAGAAGGGGGCCGATCCGTGCGCTTGGCTTTGGCGGCCGGATCCAATGCAGGCAACGGCCGGCGCGATTCGGGCGAAGGCTGCGACGATGCCAATCGAGTCGCAGGCGACGGCTGTGGCCAGTTCTGCCAGGCAAGCACGGGACAGGATGGGGAGGGCAAGCGGTGCCGCTTTTGTCGACCCCCGCCCCTGCCCCGCAAGTTGCCATAAGTCGCCCCAAGGTGGAGCCTGGCTATGCATGCATTCCCATGGCAGTGCAAGGACCAGGCCTGAAAGTAATCTTTAAGAGCTCACGAAAGTGTCGAAGTTCGGCATCGTGGGCGGAAAGCGTAAAGCCTTGGCGTGGTGTTGCTTCGCATTCCCAAGCCGCTTTAGAAAGTCAGCACAGCAGCGCACTCCTTTTCACAATCGGTGACGAGTTATCTGTCCATCTCTCATCTTTGTGTCTGCTCTACAGCCAGGCCGGAACGTGCCGGACTTCTGCGAGGCGGCGGTGTCGATGCAAGTGTAAGAAAAGTGTCGACTTGTGCCAGAGAAGGCGCTCAACTCGCACAACTTTGCCACGTAGTGTCCTCTGCAAAGGCTGTCTGCGGGGATGGTTTGCTGGTGCTGGGCGAGGAGTGCGACGATGGCAATGTGGTGCGCCGTCCAAGAAACCACCGGTAGCAGATTCGGAGTGAAAAGACAGTAGCATTTGTGGAAGGGCTTTGTGCAGTCGCCCAAAGCCAAAGGCAGCACGCAAGGTTCAGCATCGTCATGTTGGGTGGAATCAAGGTTCTCTGGGTCTAAGGCTAATACCCACAGTGATCTGCTTGTTGGGATTGAAGCCGCCCCCGGAAGAATCGACGGACCTTCAGCGCTCCGGTGTTGCAAGCGTGCTTGCACTACATCCATATGATACTGGAGCAATGGCGTTGCGTGCAGGCAACCGGAGATGGTTGCGGCTCTGGCCCCAGTTGAGGGCGGGCATCCTCTCAAAACCCTGACGTCTGACACACTTTTATGCTTTTGGAAGTACTGTAACCTTAAGCATAGTTCGTTGCAGGCTACCAGGGTCTAAACCACCATGTGCTCAGAAAGTATTGCGGAAGCGAGTAGCAGCCAACACTTGATGAGTCAAGCCCCGAACCCAAAAACCTGCATACAGACGATGCCAGAAACTTCGATAGATACCAGAAGCACTCAAGCAGTGCCAGGCCAGTGACATCAGCATGGCCCGTGTTGTGGAAGAGCCCGTAAGTGCTGCAAGTGGCTTTGGCTGCGAAGCCAGCTGTTGCATCGAGGCCCGAACTGCCTCCTGGAGCAACAGGGCACTTCCTGCCCACCGGCCTCAGACGGCCTCGGGGGAGTAGCCCGGATGCATCTGGCTCTGATTTGGTCTGGCTCTGTTATAAGTTGCTCTTTAGAGTTGACATTTGCAGAGACTTTGAGGTTGAAGGTTGTAACTTTGCAACCAGTTGCGACGTTACAGCGCCTGTTGATGTCTCAGTGGATTTCCTCCAAGCTATTGCAAGGTCTGCCGGGCCACCTGCGGCGACGGCGTTCGAGGCCCGGTGGAGGTGGAGCTCTCGGAGTATTCTGGCAGACCGAAGCCGTAAACGACCCAGAAGTAAGTCTTCAAGGATCTATAAGTTGTGAGAGGAAGCGACTGCAAACTGGTGATGATGAAGATAATGATGACGATGGTGATGATGGTGCGATGGTTTGTAACATCCTGCCACTCCCACATCGGCAAGTCATTGAGCTTAGGGTAAAGGCTGAAGCTGCAGGGACCTGGGCTTTCATGGACAGAGAAGTGCTCAATCGAACACTGAACCCCGGCCAAGGAGTGTGATGATGGGAATTCTGTCAGCGGGGACGGCTGCTCCGCCACCTGCCAAGTGGAGAGGCTGTATGCAGGGTCTTGTTCCTCATGAGTGCCGCTGTAAGTGTTCGGTTGATTCATCTGTCCATGCAGAGGGCTCCGGATGGGTAGGTGCGCAAATTAAATGGGTAGATGGGCCAGGTTCAACACAAGCCTCGCCATGAGGATGTGCAAACTGTGGATTCGATGCGCACTGCAACTTGAGTGCGTCTTTTCGGTCATTATGGTTTTGTTCCATGATTTCTCCGTCTGGGTTTGCTGATCTATGCACAGCCTGTGACTTGGTAGGCCCGTCAGCAAGTAGGCAAACAAAGCACTCAAGGTTTCAGCCTGGACTGATCTGACTGCTTGCGCACAAATTCGTTCACTGTTCGACGAGTGTTAATTGTGAGATTGTCAGTGCATGTCAGGATACACGAACTGGCAGGCGTGTCCTTTGTATCTCCTGATTGACTTCTAAGATCCTCTAATGTTACATCTAGGCAAGTAAGCATGTGTACGAAGGTATGTCGCCGGACACCAGTCGGAAAGCAGCAGCAGCAGCTGTCGCATAGGAGCAGTGTAACTAGTCAAGTCTTGTCATGAGGATTGTTGCTTGTGTGAGGTGCAGGTGACAAGGACTCAAGGTTCATCTCTGAGGCTTCTAGGAATTCTAGGGACCTTGCGTTCCAGGGACAGTAGGCCAGAGAGTCAAGCAAGAATCATCGAAAGGGGATTCACGTGCTCCGGTGGTGGCTTGAAGAGCATGGCAGCTGGCCCGGCCGAAAGTGTTGCTTTCAGCTTGTTTTTGCTTCTGGCGGGGGTGTGGGTTCAGGGGTCGAACTTGCATTTAAGCATACAGCGGCCATGTTGTCAGGGGAGCGAAGTAGCACCATGTCCTCCCTACTGAGGACACCTGCTGGCCGATTTGCGGAGACGGCCTGCGAGTGGACCGAACCTACGCACCGACCCTTGCAGCTGATAAGTTGGAGGCCGGAAGCCTTAGAGGGGTGGATCATGAAAAGCAACAACTATCTAGCGGCCGTTAACAAACAAGCAAGATCCGACAACATCAATAACCACAACAACAATGCCAGCAGCAGCAGTGGCAGCAGCAGTAGCGCGCTGCCAGCAGCAGCAGCAGCAGCAGCAGCAGCAGCAGCAGCAGCAGCAGCAGCCCCAGCAACAGCACGCAACAGCAACACGACCAAGAGCAATAGCATCAAGGACAAGAGCCAGAACCAGCATGAGAACCAGAACCAGACCGAGAGCAAGAACAAGACCAGGCACCGGCAACACCAGCAACACTAACAGCGCTGCCATCACTACAACTGCTGACACGACTTCCATCACTGCCACTACTACCATTGCCACCGCCGCTACCAATGCTTCCTCTGCCACTCCATGACCACCGCTACCGCCACCACAGCCGCAACCACCAGCACTGTCACTAGCGCTACCAGCATTGCTGACAAAATGACCAACAGCAGGCAAGCAACGCTGACAAAACCGACAGTCAGACTACTGAGCCGAGTCAGGGGAGTGGGCAAGCTTCCCCCGTCGGTTATCCACGACTAAATTGCCCGCCAGATGGCCATCCGGATGAGCTGCATAAGCACGTGCACCCCGCCAGCACCAAAAGCCGCAAGAGCTATGAAGAACCCCTAGCAGCACCATCGATCCAAAGAAGCCGGAGACACGTTTCTTGAACGGTGAGCTTAGACATGAGTCCACCAAGAGCGAAGGCTTAAATCGAACGCCTTGGCTCGACAGGGCTGCGACACCGGGCCACTACCCTCGAGAGGCCGGTGGAAAGTGAATGGAATGTGACTTGCAGCGGCTTGTCGAGACCGTTTCAGTCCCTCAAGCCCAGGCTGCGATGCCAGCTGCCAGGTCCGAGTAGGTCAGGCTGCGCAAGCTTTCACAGATGCACGTGTGTAAACACATGCACGCAGGCCAGGCCCTTTCAGCCTAGAGTTCACGCGACCTCCCCCAGGTTCTGTAATCAGTTCGCGGGCCCAATATATCTGACAGAGCTTCGACCTTTGACAGAGACAGAGAGACAGAGACGTCGCACACAAACCCCAAACTGCGGAGAGTGCGGAGGCTGGAGATGCGCTCGGCCCCAGGGCCAAGGCGAGGAGGCGCGTGGGGCCTGGGCCGGGCCCCCTTTGATTTGAGTGTTTAAGGGCCTTATAAGGCTTTAGACAGGCTCTCGCGCTTTCTTAGCTACTGGGTGTGGCAGGACGTTGAGTTTTCGGTTTGTTTAGAGATGTGGCGTCCGTGCGGAGTCAGCTGGGTTTCGATGGTCGTGTTAGTAGTGTCCTTCCAATACGCACGCTCGACTGCAGTTCCCCATAGCTCGCCGCACAAGAAAAGCCGGGCCCTCACAAATGTAAGTTTCCAGTAGCTGGCCGCAAGACAGATCCCAGCAAATTGTAAGTCATCATCAGCACAAAGCAGCCGAATCCGAGGAAAAGAAGGACACGGCACAGAAAAAAGTTGCTCTGCTACACCCATGAAACAGGGTCTCACGAGACCTACAAGAAAAGGAACAGGGCGTGGGGGTTGTTTTTGCTTTCGGCCTCCGGTGAATGCGAAGGTCTGCGTCCCGGTTTGTGGCGATGGCATCCTCTCGACACCCATGGAAGAATGCGACGACATGAACCTGCAGTGGAGCACTTAAAGGCAAACCCTGAATCCCAACACCAAAGTCTAAGCCACGCTGATCGAGGTCAGGCGATGGATGTAGTCCAGATTGCAAAGTGGAGGCCGGTTTGCCAGTGGCAGAGGTGTCCAGGAACCTCAATTCCAGACCTCTCAACATCGTCTGACACTTAACACTTAACCTGATCAGTAGGATCTTTCTTAGGATGACAAAGTCATTACGTAAGGTACCCCTAAATTGAAGAAATTACCATATTCACCCTATCGAACCTTCTCGTTGTCTGAAGGCCTTCTTCGAGTTGGCAGCTTAGATTGTCAGCTCTTGGTGGTTGGACAGACTTGCACAGGATCTTCTTCAGGTGCACCTATGATGACTTCTGGCTGCGATCCGTCTGCAAGGTGCACTGCGGGGCTGGAGCCTAAGCATACGGGTAAGCATAGCGCACTCTAGTCCTGCATACGTCCAGAAGAATCCAGAATGCAGGAAGACATGTTTCGTCGCAGCGAAGTCAGAAAAGAGTGACGGTGCAATTTACCGCGTTGGCATCTTTGCTCAAGACGTCCGTCTTGGTTTTGTTTATGACGCGATGGCGGCTTCATCAAATGTGCCGTCTGCGCGACCGGTAACAAATGAGTCTAGAGGCTCTAGCAACTCGCATGGCCATGGTTCAGCTTGCCCCGGATACGAGGGTATGCCTGAGGAGCTAGCTGAAAACCTGCGTCTTCATCAGAATGGTACTTGCCGTCCTTGTGTTGCATTCGCATTTCGAGAAGGCGGCTGCTTCAAGGGCGAGATGTGTTCCCACTGCCATTTCTGCACAGCCGAAGAAGCTGCTGAGAGAAGGAAGCATCTCCAGTCCATCGCGAGACGACGTCGAAGGATGCGACGACTGGAAGCCGAACTCAATCAGGGGCACGAGCAGGAGCATGGTCACCGAGACAGGGACTTGCAGGTCTTACCGCAAGAGCCCGGCAGGATGGTTGGTGGATGCGCCTCAAATCCGACAGAAGGCTATGGCTACCAGGTGTCGCGCCTTTCTCAGGTGCCGCTGGCTTCGGCCCTGTCGGCCGCTTCGACCCTACCTCCGCCGCCGGGAATTCCTTGGGCCTCATATCAAGACTACCCAGGCCATCCGGTTGCTGGATTGGGCGACTGGTACCCTTGGCAGTCAGCCGAGGTTCCCGGGCAAGAAAGGCAGGCCCGGGCCCTCTCAAATCCTGACGGGAGTCCCACGCTGGGAAATCAGTCTTTCTGGCTCTAGTCAGGTTGGTCCATGGCTCCGGAAGCTGATGCCGAAATGGACACTGTTCTATTGATTTCTAATTCAGTCTCACCTCTGTTTTTATGAAGGCCATGCCACACTCCTTTACGTGAACGCTGGCGTAACTACCATAGCATTCGACTGTGTCCGCACTTTACAACCCTGCAGGCGCCTGGCCTCAGGGTGTGGGCGGCGCATGTTAAAACCCAATCAGATCCGAGCAACTCGGACCGAAAAGGAGCCGCCCTGAAGAAGTGCCGGAAGCTGTCTCTGCCTTGCACCTGTGCAGCCGGTCAACAGGATTCTACCGCAAGTCTCGACTCGGAAGGACGGACGCAAGCACCCGTCCGAAGCCTGCGACGACGGGAACGTCTGGGATGAGGCGCGCTACAAAAACAAAGCCGGTGGTGCAGAATGAAGGGCCGGAGGACCGAAGGGCTAGGACGAAGATGTGCGCTCAACTGGCTCAGGATGGCTGCTCCTCCAACTGCCAAGCCGAAGCTGGCTTTGAGTGCCTAGGTGGTGGTTTGACCTTGCCGCCAGATGCCAAGCTTTTCATGGAGGTGCCATGGCATGGGGGCCTCGGCATACCTGGCTCAGGTCAACATGCATTCCGATCTGTGGTGATGGCTACGAGGCCTGCGTCCGCCATTGCCGTTCGGGTTTCTCTTCAATGCGCGAATGCGGAGGTCTTTGGAGAGGGCTGCGATGATGGCAATCAGAACCCCTGGGACGGCTGCGATCAGTTCTGTCAGGTGCTGGGGCTCTCTTCGGGCTGTGCTTGCTGATCGATCTGAAGTGTTCCAGGTGGAGCAAGGCTACCACTGCACCCGCGCACCGAAGCCGGGTCAAACAGGCACACAGGGCACCGTCAGTGACGCGCCACGTGCCGCCGTGCCATGGCCGAAGGCCGAAGGCGATGAACAGGCAGCGGAGTGTTTCTTCAAGCGCAGGGGCTGCTTCCGCATGCTCGCCAACCTGTGGCGATGGTCTGCTCAACGGCGAAGAGGAGCACAACCCTGTGGGAGGGCATTGACGGGCCGCGGAAAGCCGTGAATCGATGAAATCGCAGTCGCAAGAGCAGGAGTGCGACGGCAGCTACAGCCCTCTTCCAGGCAAGGCAAGGCTTTCCAGAGCTCAATCCTTCACAAGAAGCTTGAGGCAACACAACGGAGCCGCCTGTGCTGACCCCTCGGATGGGGTCGAAGGCAAAAGAGATCAAGATCCAGGTTGGGTTTTCTCTGGTGAAGGCCTTGCTCGAGGTGCAGGCTGTTGGCGGTGGATGTCTGAAGCCCAGATTCCCAGATCTCGAATGGAACGGTGCATATCTGTGTTTGCATATCTGTATCTATATGATAGTATCTGTCTGTCGGTGGGTCTGTCCGTCTGTCGGGTCTATCGGTCGGTCTGTCTGTCGGTCTGTCGGTCTGTCTGCTTGTTTGTCGGTCGGTCGGTCAGTCGGTCGATCTGTCGGTCTGTCTGTTTGTCTGCCTGCCTGGTCGGTCTGGTTTGTCTGTATGTACGCACATGTACACTTGCCTCGAGTGGGGTTCAACTTCCGTGGACCACATCAGCCTTCCAGATCAACTTAGGTTTGTGGTGACTTCCGACGTGGCCCAACAGAGCAATGCACCTTCCCAAGTCGGGACCGAAATGTGTTTCCTGTGCCAAGATGCATGGGGATTTTAGTTTGGAGCAGCGTGAAAACGTTGAACTTACCACGATGGATTCTAGGTTTTTCTGAAAATTTCCAGCTCTTGATACCGCCACTGTTTTGTTTCAGCCTTTCGCATCTTAGACCCGTTTTAAAAACATGAGTCAGGAAGCGCAGGGGCAGACTTTGTGTTATTGGTTATTTGGCTTTTGGAAGTCTTTGTTTCGGTGCGTGAGCATGGGCATGGCTGTCCGGGTCTTCTCGGCTGGGCGAGCCTTGGGCAGGGTTGCCGTTGGACGCCTCGCGACTCGCCCCGGCACATCGGCACCGTGATTCTAGGTGATGATGGCAACAATGCAAGCGGAGATGGTTGCAGCTCGTCTTGCGACGTGGAAACAGGCGCCCTCCCTGCTGCATCTCACTTCGGAGTTCGGACTTGAGAGCCATGCTCGCAAAGGCCAGCAACTTGCTGCTCCTCGCTCCTCATTACCACCACAACCGTAGTGTGGTAGCTGGTAGTAATAGTAGTAATAGTAGTAGTAGTAGTAGTAGTAGTTGTAGTAGTAGTAGTAGTAGCAGGAGTAGTAGTAGTAGTAGTAGTAGTAGCACTAGTAGTCGTAGTCGTAGTCGTAGTAGTAGTAGTCTTAGTAGTAGTAGTAGTAGTAGTAGTAGTAGTAGTAGTAGTAGTAGTAGCACTAGTAGTCGTAGCAGTAGCAGTAGCAGTAGCAGTAGCAGTAGCAGTAGCAGTAGCAGTAGCAGTAGTAGTAGTAGTAGTAGTCGTAGTAGTAGTAGTAGCAGCAGTAGTGGTAGTGGGAGGCACTTCGGAGGCACCACCCCTCCTACATACTCTTCTCGCACACAGCCGTTATACTCGGTTTTTACAGCACCTTCGCCATGTAGGAACATCTTATGAAGCTTCAAAATTCACTTGCGAGTTTGCAAACGAGCTTCCGATTCTGGACTTGCATTTGGGGGGAAGGGTGGGGGGAGGGAGGGGGATGATGACGACATTGCTACACAGACACCCCGAACAATATCACCAGAAGATCCGTTTTTCTCGGCATTTACAGTATTTTCTCGATGTCGGACCATCTACCTCGAGACTTTACGAACTCGACATTGGGCTTTGCGATGTCTTTCGGTGAAGCTTTTCTTCCGCGGTATTTGAAGTACTTTGGTCATGTCGTAGTCCATTGCGAACCACCGTTCTTCAGCACCGTTGTTGCTTCCGGGGGGTGGGGTTGCGGGGCGGGGTGGGGCGGGGGGCGGGGGTATGATGACGTGCAGACAGCCTCGAACACCACACACCACTTCAAAAGCAATCCCTCCTACGCCGTGGTCTGGGCTTTAGGTCCCACGTACAATCTTGTTTTTGAAGAAGATGTTGCGCTTCAGGTTTTGGGAGTGTTTAAACCTTCTTGGCAGTACCTGGGTTTTGCACGGTACTTACAGTGTTTTCGGACTATCCGACCACCTGTGGTTTGGCAGTTTCTTGCCTGTCGAGGTTGCAACTCCAGTTGCTGTCGCAGTTTTGGGGCCTGAGCCTTTGCAACTTCACCGGCTGTGACAGTTAAGGCAAGTGAGCCTCGGCAACTTCTGCAGCTGTCACAAATGGGGAGCCTGAAACCCTGCATCTGTGACAGTTGCGGCAAGTGGGCTTGGGCAACTTCTGCAGCTGTCACAGATAGGGGGCCTGAGCCCCTGCATCTTCTGCAACTCTCATTTTCGTTGATGATGATGATGATGATGCGCCAGGTGGTTGGCAGGGCGGGGGTTGCTGGTAGTGGCCGTAGCAGTAGTAGTAGTAGTAGTAGTAGTAGTAGTAGTAGTAGTAGTAGTAGTAGCAGTAGTAGCAGTAGTAGCAGTAGTAGTAGTAGTAGTAGTAGTAGTAGTAGTAGTAGTAGTAGTAGTGGTAGTAGTGGTAACAGTCGTGGTACTGATACTGGTACTGGTGGGTAGTGGTACACGTAGTGGTAGTGGTAGTGGTGGTAGTAGTAGTAGCAGGAGTAGCAGGTGTAGTAGTAGTAGTAGTATAGTAGTAGTAGTAGTAGTAGTAGTAGTAGTAGTAGTAGTAGTAGTAGTCGTAGTAGTAGTAGTAGTAGTAGAAGTAGTAGTAGTGGTAGTAGTAGTAGTTGTCGTGGTAGTGGTCATTGTAGGGGTAACGTTAGTGGCAGTGCTAGTGCAGTGGCAGTGGAAGTGGCAGTGGTGTGGCAGCAGCAGCAGCAGCAGTAGTGGTAGTGCTCCTGTTGTTGTTGTTGCAGCTGCTGCTGCTGCTGCTACCACCACCACTGCGGCACTAGTTCCGCTTGTCCCTGGCTTTGCCATGACCTCGACCAGAGGCACCAACACCACCAACACGACCAACAACTCCAAGACCACCGACACCAGTGGCAGGAAGCATTTACAGCTGACATGTGGCCAGGCTGGAGCTGTTCGCAAGGCCCGAGTCACCTATCACCAGGTGTAGCTCCAGGCGCGCCGGGACTACAGCTTTTGCCCATAATGCACCCACCCCATCTTCTCTTATCTACAAAAAAAAACTCCCACACTCTCTCCATAGCCATAGTCCTCCTTCCACCCTCATTGTTCACCACCTATTGGTTTGCATCTGCGACTGTGACCGCAGGCGATACATGCAGGGCCATCTGTGGCGACGGCATCGTTGTATCTACGGAGGTCGCTGTTGCTGGCGTTGTGCGGGCTAGGCATGCTTTGAGTCTCTTCGTCTCTCTCTGTCTCTGTCTCTCTCGCTCCCTCAATCCCCCAATCCCTCTCTCTATCTTTCTCTCACTCTCACGTGTTTCTATTATGTTATTGCTCCAGTTCTAGAGTTGCCGGTTCCTGTAGATCTTATGCTCGCAGCAGCTATGACTGGAGAAGCTCTGTCGCGAGGCTTGCGATGATGGCAACCTCCGAGGGGACGATGGCTGCACTGGAGACTGTCGCGCTAGCACCTCAAGCGAGTCAAGACAATGCTTCTCAAGGAGCGGGGGAAAGAGTTTTGAAGTAAAACGGCACGACGTATCCCGAAACTAAGTCCCATAAACTTAGATCCCAAATCGTTAAACCCCCAAATCCCCATACATCCCCAAACATCCCCAAACCCTCGAATTTGCAGACTGGCCGAGGTCGAAGCGCTCTTCGAGTGCTTCTTACCAGGTGCAGCTCAGCTCCTGGAGGCCGAACACAGCACGCTTTTCTGTGCGTGCGCATAGGATTTTGCAGAGATGTTTACGAAGATTCTTGTTTTGGTTGATTGTCAGGGTTAGAGACCACAGTTGTTGGGCTTCTCATTGACAATGTCGCGATTCCACCCGTGGCAACAAGGAGTGTTGTCATTCGCGCTTAGACTTCCGGCCTCGAATTACCGAGTGCCCGAAAGCATCGTAAATGCCGATGCACTTCTAGCTGGACATCATTCTTCCTTCAAGCAATAGTCATCAACAAGCATACTTGTTCACATCCAGTCAGATCGAACATTACCCAAAATCATTTACCAGAGTCAATGGTCATGATAACGGGCTAGAGTTTCCTGATTCCTGTCCGCACATTGGTGGGAGAGATATCGGGAGGTTCAGGGGCTCGGAAAACCTGAGCCAAACAGATGTGAACTTGCTTCTTCAAGTGGAGTCTTGTCTCATTACTACGCGATGTTTACTGCTTCATGTTTGGCTTAATTTGTTGTTGATCGCATGTTTTCGATCCTCTCCCACACTGGTGGCCCCAGGTGCCTGAGCCTGCCCGCACCAACCGAGGGCCCATGGCCTCTGTCTGTGCTTTCTACTCAGCCTCACGGTGAGTGCATGTCTGGATTGTGGGACTTGAAGCACTCACATGACACGTGGCGTTGAGGTTCACGGAGCCTTTGAAGACAGAGACTTCCAAGGTCAGCACCAAGCCACCGCGATTCGTAGGCGCTCACTTCGACGAAGCCTTTGTGTCTCTGGAGCTCAACTTCGACAGCAATGTTGTGTCGTGACAGCAAGGGTTCAGCATGACTTTGGCTTAGCAAGTGGGTTTATTTTATTGAATCGGTGCAGAGGTTCTAAATGCGGTTATGTCACGGGCTCACTGCTCTGGAGATGTCTGGAGCGGTCCAGGTCATTCGCACCGCATGTAGCCGGCAGACCACTCCAACATTTTAGGCTTTATAGTTAAGTTCCCAGACTCTTCGAACGACTATTATTGACAGAACACCTATCATCTCGGGTATTGTGGGATGAGCCAACTAATGAGCTGGTTTCTGTGAATCTTTCCTAAACAGGAACACGGACGAGACAGCGAAGCGAACGTGAGAAACCAAAATGAGACAGTCTCGGCGGGTGCTGGTGCGCGCAGGCGAATTTTGGGTAAACGAAGAGGCACCTTACGCAAGCCACTGAATTGTCGAATGTCATGTGGAAGCATATGCCCAGAATATGTAGATTTGGTCGAGGAGTCAGGATCCTGAAATCCGGTGGCAGCATGATAGCGCTCCTATCGCCATCTATCGCCTATAAGCCGGGCCGACCCTGGATCATCGGATCCCCGTTTCCCTCGCGGCGTGTCATGAGCATCAGGAGCACCGCTTTTTCGAGAATAGTGGCTACAACTGACACACAGCGTTTCTTTTATGCTTTTTCGGGGGTACCGACACAGCCCTCAGCAAGAAGAAACGGGGATGCAGTGATGCTGATGATGCTCGTTCCAGGGGATTCTTGGGGTTTCGGGAACAGCCACAAGGAAAGCATATTGGGCGTCACGCGCGAGTCTAATGATGCCCAGGATGCTTTGGAAGGCAGCTTTCGGTTGACTTGGACACCGCGTGTGTGGAGGGCCCTCACCATCCCATCCGAAACGGCCTTGCGCGCACAGCCGCCGAGTATGTTGCGCAGTCCCTAATAGATTCAAGTTTATGGGGGCAAGCCAGCAAGTGTTCGGGCTCTCAAAGTCCAGCCGATCCAAGGCGCCTCTGCCCGGCGAGGCTCCTTGCCTGCATCGGCGGCAGATTCGCGGTTTTTGTGTTGAGGATCTGGCCATTTGGGTCGTTAATATGAACGGAAGAGATCCCTTTAATTTATAAACATGCCAGTACGTGGTACGAGAGTCGAGATTGCCATTGTCAGCCACCTTGCTGCCAACAGTACAAGTAAGAGCCAGAGGTTGCATTGGCAATGATGCTGACAGTGTTGGGAGTCGTCTCCAGGTCATGCTGCCCATAGGCGCACGCCTTTGTCCCACACATACCTTACGTAGTACCTTGTGACGCGAGCCTAGAGACGCTTGCATCTTGTGAGATTGCAAGGAGCATTCCGGTGGTGTTGCTACGGCCGTTCCAGCCTTTCCATGCGAGGTGCAGGGCTTTCACCATCTGTCTTATGCGAGTGTCATGACTCTGGCGGCCCAGCAGGTGCTGCTTGATCCGTTGACTCTGTTGTCCAGCTCTCGGTTCTTGTCAGCTTAGCATAGACACCAGAGATGCTCTGCCAACAAAGCTTGAGAGTCTTTGCCGAGTGTTTGATGGCACGGTTTCAGCGACGCTTCGTGAAGTCCCGGGCTTCACACCTCCGCCGCTCCGCTTGGAATGAGATCTGGTTGCTGGGTGATCAGGTTGCTTGGAGACGAGCCCAGCTGCTGGTGGAAGTCCCGTCAGTCCGCGGCTGTGGCCATGGGTGGTAGCCTAGGCCGATCAGGGAATGAGAAAGACTTTGGCCAGCAAGCGACCCATGGGTAGTTGCTCAGATAGACTTCGGAGCAGTTTGAAGGCATACTGCCGGGCAGTGGCGTCTTGCTCAAGGCGGGGGTCGTCATGAAGCGCCTGGCCAGTTCGATGGCAACTGCAGAGCGCGACAGCGTATAGGCGCCTCCATAGCACCTGAGGCCGGCGTGTTGCGGAGCTACACTTTCGCGAAGGAAGCTGCGGCGGCACAGGTGCACATCGTACCGGCATCAGCTCTACGCGCATTCTCTGAATGCGATGCAGCGCCAGGAAGTGAAGGCAGATGTTCCAGGAGGTTTCATCGCTCCTGTGTTGTGGCCAAGGCACGTCGGACCAAAGACCGCAAGGGCTGAAGAGGATTCACCCTTGACTTTTACACTGCTTCGCATGTCTCCCCTTGACCATTGTGTATGTTTCAGGTCACTCATGGCTTCCTCATACAATACAGCTGCTGTAACTTTTGCGAGACATGCGCTGCAGCCGGTGCACAAAACGAAGGCCCATCATCACCGGAGCACAGATGGCCGTTGACTTAAGTACGTGGTCAGCTTCGATTTCGATGTCTTGTGAATGTCTTGCTTGGTCAGTTGCTACATAACAGTCGTTTCGCACAGAACATGCCTAGCAATACTTTATTGAGAGCTGGAATCGAATTGACCTGAACGATCTCGCAGCACGAGAGCTTTGAGAACAAAACATCCAACCAAGCCCCTTGCCCATGACGCTATTTGTAGCATTGTAGCGTTTAGCGAACGTCACCCCGGCTCCGAGTGGTTCTGCTTCAAACTTCTCACCCAGATGTGTTTCCCCTCACCTCTGCCTAGGCTCCGGCCTGTGCTGATGTCACTGTTCTGAGCTCCGAGTACAGCCAGGGCTTTGCTGGCCGCATGGCCATGCCCCCTCGTCGCGGCCCTGGGCGTTGAGCTGACTTGGAGTTTGAGGGGGTCGCTCCAGCTCCAGTACCAAGTAGCAATCAAGATGTTTTCCTAAACCAGCACCCAGCATCCTAAACCACATAACCCTCCCTCTAACTTCAAAGCCGAGGCTGGGCGGTAGTAGCGGCCTTCAACATGACTGCTGCTTCCTGGGACTCTGCAGAAGTTGAACGGATCCAACGTGGAATGGAGATGCAATTTCAGGATGCCGAGGTCGATGGCTAAGCAAAGTGCTGTGCTGACACCGATGCCGCGCCTTGTCTCGCCGCTGATTGTGGGGGAGATCGCTTTGGCTGAGGTATACCTGCCACGACAGGGAGTTCTGCTGAGCCAACAGCTTGGCCATCAGAATCGAGCGATTCCACCGATGCTGGGGAGAAGTGCGTGCAAGGGCACAATTTATAACCCATCCTGACCTTTGGAAGAAATTTGCAAACTGGTGTGCACGCAAGACATGCACCAGAGCGCGCAAAGGCGGACGCACGGGGCATCATAAGATCATTCATCGGAACATTTCGATCAGTCAGCAGTCAGCTGCAGGTCTCCTGGACCTGGAGTTCGATCGCAGCATTCGGGCCTGCAGCTTGGAGGGTTTGTTCGAGGTCTCATCTTTTCAGCCGCATGCGCACTGCAAGACCGAAGAGTTCGAGAACTGTGCAGGTTGGTTTCATCTACCGCATTTGCCTTCGACAGCAAAACATGCTGGACCTCGTCGGCATCGGCTGCCACAACCTGGAGGTTTCAGAGTGGTGTAAACCTTACAACCCCCGAACCCTAAACCTTCGTTTCCTTTGTGGTTCCATATGCGTCCGCCAGATCAACGAGCTGCCAGTACCGCGCGTGGTAACTGCTGCTTCCCTGTTGCAAGAAGCTTGAGGATGTTGAGGTGCTAGGCATGGGATGGGGAGCTGTAGCTTCTGAGGTGACCTAATCATCTAGTCCCTGTTGCCGAGGTTCCACAGCACCCGATGGCGCTCATGGAGGGGCGGTGGCCGGTCTCCTACAGCAGCTGTCATGTTGAACGGCCATGCTCAGAAGCAGGCGATGTATGGATATTGCGCAAGACGAGCCAGCTGAAATGCTGCTGCTGATTATGTTTGTTGCTTGATTTTTTTGCCGTCGTCGTAGCATTAATAGTAGTAAAGTGGTAGTGAGTGGTAGTGGTGGTGGTGGTGGTGGTGGTGGTGGTGGTGGTGGTGGTGGTGGTGGTGGTGGTGGTGGTGGTGGTGGTGGTGGTGGTGGTGGTGGTGGTGGTGGTGGCGGTCGTGGCGGTGGCAGTAGGAATAGCTGTAGTGGCAGCGGTAGCGCAAGCAGCAGGGGCGGGAGCGGGAGCGGGAGCGGGAGCGGGAGCCGGAGCGGGAGCAGGAGCAGGAGCAGGAGGAGCAGGAGGAGCAGGAGGAGCTGGAGCAGGAGGAGCTGCAGCAGCAGTAGCAGCGGTAGCAGCAGCAGTAGCAGCAGCAGTAGCAGCAGCAGCAGCAGTAGCAGGAGTAGCAGGAGTAGGAGTTGGAGGAGCAGCAGCAGTAGCAGCAGTAGCACGAGTGGAAGTAGCGCTAGCAGCAGCAGCAGCAGGAGGAGCAGGAGCAGCAGCAGCAGCAGTAGCAGCCGTAGGAGTAGGGGTAGCGGCCGGAGTAGTCGTAGTGGCAGTGGTAGCGGTAGTCGGAGTGGTAGTGACTCGACGACTAGGCCGGTCCGCCGCAACGAGTCTATGTTGCACCGGATCCCACTTCTGGGCCTGAGGTTGCAGCTGGAGGTCAAAGCAGAGCTTCCGCAGGCGCGTCGGCTCTGAATGCCACGCAAGCTCGGAATAAACGGACTCTTCTCTCGGGGCTGCGGCCTGACATGAACCGGTGGTTGGGCACTATTTCGCAGTCTAGTGTGGGGTGACACGAAGCAGCCCTTTTCAACGTTCACGCCGTCAGACCGAAGCCACAACGGCTCTGGCAGGAGTGAATTGATGAGAACGCTTTGTCCGAAGGGAGGAGTTCAACATGCTATCAAAGACACGCTTCCGTCGCCGTGCTTGAAACCAAGCAATGCAAAAGATAGAGACGGAAAGCTTTCTATCCAGCAGACCATCCAGACTGAGTCTGAACCCGGGAAAGCACGAGGGCCTGCGAGGGCAGGGGGGCATTCAATTTTCAACAGACTACCTTAGTTCCCCGAACGGAAGCGATGTAGACCTCTCTCGAATCAAGCCCTCTTGTAAAAGGGCTTTAGCGATGGGATCCCCGTCAGCCGAAGATTACAGATTGCTTCAAACTATAGGAAAGTACATTCAATAGCTTGACTCTCAGATCCCTGCCAGGGCTGCGTCACGGGCGATCCTCCACGGCCGACGACACTTCTGGCAGCCTCTGCCGCTTGAACCGCAGCCTTCAGCCATAGCTGAAAACGGAGTTTCGGAAAATGTGGACACCAATGCTTACGCTCGACACAGTTAAAGGGATCCCCGGCCAAAGCGGTGCAGATTCACTGCAGCGGGCATAGACCACACACTTTCAGATCTGCTCAGGGCGTGTCTTCTGGAAGTCGCTGCATTTCTCCACCGCGAAGCATCGAAGAACATTGGAGCCTCAAATCTGAGCGCTCGAGGAGGAAATCCAGCCTCTAAGAACCGGAGCTCAGCAAAAAGCAAACGACTGGGCCATGATCTACGGATGTGTCCAGGACCAGACCCAAGCCCCCAAACCTTCGCCCGATTGAGCCAGCACTATGCAAAGCCGGCAAACAGAGCCCTTAGTGGTGTAGTTTCCGACTCCGGTGGGTGTCGAGTTGAACAGAGGCTCCGGAACCTACGCACAGCTTGCGGCTGGAGGTCTCCCGTGCAGTCATCTTCTATGCAGCATTCACTTCGATAGTTCATTTCCTACACAGGCCGATGCAGCCTCTTTTCGCTCAAGCTCTCCTTTCAGACAGATGATGTGTGCCGAAGAAGTGATGCCCTGCGAGAGCGGTAAGTCTTCGAACGAAGAAGACACAGCAAGCAAGAGCTCGTCAGGTTCCTCCGCATCAATCTCACCAAAACCACACAACTGGGTTCACGCCTGGTACCACACGACGACCTCCGTACTTGGTGCGATCGCTGTTGCCACGTTACCCTTTGCATTTGGCTACTTGGGCTGGTTTGCAGGCATTGCTGTGTGGCTCCTCAGCACGCTTGTCTCATACTACTCTGCCCGCCTGCTCATCCAGCTTCAAGGTTCAGAAACAACATATTCCCAAATTGCGGACAGAGTCATGGGAGATGGATTTGCAAAGTGGTGGATCCGCCCCTTTCAGTTCATAGTCGTCTACCAGGTTACTGTTCTCACGGCACTAACGCTCGGGCAAACGTTCTTCGCCTTGGATGAGCTGTTTTCGCCTGCAACACATCTGAAATCTTCATGGTGGACCATCATAGGCGGTGCCTTCACTTTCCTGATTGGGCTTTGCCCGAGCCTGTCACACATGTGGCAGGTCAGCTGTGTCGGCAGTATAGCAGTCGTGGTCTTCGTGGTTCTGACCTTCGTAGGGTGCATCCTAAGCATTCTTTCGCAAGAGACGGATGTGGATTTCGGCCGTCCCAATGATGGCGAAGGCTTCGTCTTTGGTGTCATGAACAGCTTTGGGGTTCTCGCCTTCTCCTACGGCGGGCATGCCGTGTTGCCAGATTTGCAGGCATCCTTGCGGTCTCCTACGGTGGAGCGAGCCCATGCTGCGATGAACAGAGGGCTCATGGCTGCTTATGCCATTATCGTACCATGTTATGCTGCCACGGCGACAGCAGCCTACGCTGCTTTTGGCGAGAACATCTCTAGCTACCTGCTGGACAACTTCAGCAATCTTTCCGTTGCACTGTTGGCTTCCTTGCATGTGCTGCTTGCTGTCAACACCCTTGCGCTGGGTGCAATCTACATACAGTCCGGCTTTGCTCTTGTGGGGGATATGATCCCGTCACTTAGCAGCGATGGTGACCGGTACAGCTGCAAGAACTTGTTGGCCGTTAGATTGCCATGGGTGGCCACTGCTACATTCGTGGCTGTCGCGATACCATTCATTGGTGATTTGGCCTCGCTTTCTGGAGCGATCGGTTTTACCGCTATGACATTTGTCCACCCCTTCGTTCTGTGGGAAAACTCGCCTCTCGCCAGAGGTGCACCAGCTTGGAGGAGAGCTTGCCATGTCTTCTTGGCCCTCACCTTCGTAGTGCTCGGCCTTTGCAGTTTCGTGGGCTCTTTGTATTTCATCATCAAGGAATCCTCAACTTACACTTTCTTTTGACCTCCGTGGATGGCCCTTGGCCTGAACATCTGTAGCAAGCACAGGCAGCAGGCAGCGCTAGAACTAGCGCTGCTTTGCACTGCACTGCAGGAATTGGGACACTGTACAGATCTTCTGGCTCTGCCATGTAAAGTACGCCGAAGGCTTCCCAAGCCTGATGAGGCAAAGCTCCCATCTATGAAAATCAGATGTGCGCGTGCCAAAGAGAGACCACCGCTTGCAACATGTTTCAACGATGTAGTGTAGCAGGAGCCACTAAGGCTGGTGCCGGGACCTTACGAAACATCGTTCCACTCTGCGTGGCACACACCTGTGGTGCATGTAAATCGCAGTGCCTCCACGCTGAGGCGGGCACTTTGGTCCTTTGACACGTCTCTTCGCAATGCTTTAGGAGAGGCACTTCAACAGCGCGACTTCAGAGCGTCCCGTCCTAGTCTCATGCAAGCACCGCAGCACTACTCCATGCCATGCTGCGGATGCATGCGTGTCATGTGAGTATCTGTCTTGCGCATTCCCGACTACCAGTGTGCTGCGACATCGATCATTTGATGATCTCAGATCGGCTCTCAGCGCATGCGCGCCAGGCAATTTCTGTCCCCCTGCTTTCATCTTCTCGATCCGTGGGTGAGGCAGGTCAGTTGCTTTCGCGATCTGCTGCGCGAATTAACAAGGTACTGTATCAGATTGTTGTCGTGCTTGGTCGTGCAGGAGCGATACGGCAACCGAAGTGTGGCAAGTCAGCTTTTCCTCCGTCCCGGCACTCTGCCGACAGGCGGGAAAGCTGTGACAAAGCCAGAAAATGGCCGGATCCGTGCATGCCAGGATACGTCAACGTCTACAGTCAAGTTTGTGTTAATGCTGGTTGCTCAGCGCAAGACTGTGAGCTCGTTGACGCGTTGTTGTTTTGATCCCGGTGGTTTCATGTCACACCGTCTTCAGCTCTGGTACCTGCCGAGGCATCCAAGAACCTTACGGAGACAGAGGTTTTACTGGGCCTGCTTCCAACCGAAGAGGCAGGTCCTTCATGGCATACGAGTGCACAGGCACTTGATCATTGTCAGTTAGGTCTGTGGCTACACGACCTTCGCCGTAAACCACCTGTCACTCCCCGTGCCGCCGCTATCCCTGACCACTGAAAGGCGCGCAAGCAGAAGTGTTGTATACACCCTAAACTTGCTTGGGCATTGGTGTCCCTTGGGGTTCTTGAGGCCATGGAGACGCGTCGCAGAGGTTGGCGAGGCAGAGTTGCTGCGTGCGTAGAAGCTTCTCATTTGGGCCTCAGATTAGCGCTGCACGGGGCGGGTTTCAACAGTGAGGCTATCATCACGCATTCCACCCAGAGATTGACAGTACGAAATTTTGATACGTATAGTTCGCTTCTACTGGTATGTTACCATGCGCGCGATCCGCGACCCCCCTCCTCCCCCCCATGGTCCAGGATGCCCCCCGCTGTGGGGTGGGGTGTCGGGTCGCTCTTCCCCTGGGGTGGTTGTGGGTTTTGGGGGGATTGCTTCGAGTCGACAAGGGCTTTGGGAGGGTTTTGGGTGTAGGTTTTTTAGGGTTAGCGGTTTACGGTTTATGATCTGCTTTAGGCTTACAGCTTGCAAGTCGAAGGCATGAACATTGAAAATGTGCAACGCTGCAGCTGCTCGCATACAACTATCTTAAATTCATTAGGCGATGGCGGTTGTTCGCATGTCGTAAGTTCTTCGATGGCGGTTGATTTCATATTACACATATCAAAGCCGCCCACTCGTAGATGATGGTCTTGATCTCATATCTTGAAGCCTGCCCTTCAGTAGGCGATGGTGGTTGATCTCACATCTCAAACCCGTGCGCGATGGCGGTTGATCCCACGTCGTCAACTCGAACCCTCTTTAGGCGATGGTGGTTGAGTTCATATCTGAAGTCTTCCCTCTCGTCAAACACGTCCCCGCACGAGGCGATGGCTGTAGATCCCGTGTCTGTCTATGTCTTACATCTGCCGCCTAATTAAGCGGGTTGAGCAAGTCCTCTGCTCGGATGTCCATAATCCCAATCTGTTGGGATTGGCGTGGGTGGGTGGGTGGATTGTTCTACTAAGAAGAAGATTTTAGAGAGAGAGAGAGAGAGAGAGAGAGAGAGAGAGAGCGAGCGCCCGCCAGTTTTAGAGGATGGCTCCTTCCTTGCAGGTCTTAGCTGCAGCAGCGGCCGGCGCCGAACTGCGCCTGGTGGGAACGCCACCTGCTCCGGGAGCTGCTCCGCAGGGCCCGCCCGTAGAGGCAAAGGAGCGAAGAAACGCCTCTCGCCTCAGCTCCTGGAAACTCGCTCGCAGCTCAGGCAGAAGTGGGCGTGGACTCTTTGGCCCTCCAGCGCCTGCGGGTCTTGGAGGACGTTCGTTTGGCCCCCGGGTCGTCGAATCTGCACCTCGCGCGCCTGGAAGGATGTGGGAAACAATGCAATGCGTGCAGAGGAGCTGCAGTATGGCTGGCTGGGAGCAGCCGCTTGGATGGTACATTCCCAGCACCGTTGACCCTGCTTCACTAAACGTAACTTCACCCGTGCCTCGACCAACCTGCAATCACCCTCCTACTCTCAAAAGTTATATTAATGGATTTGCAATCGCAGCTCCTTGATACCCTTGACGACTTTCGTTATCGGTAAATTCGGTTGTATCGCTTGCAGTGAGATTTGGCTTCAGTTTGGCTGTCCGTGGATTTTCTTAATCCTGCACCGTGTAAAGTGAGACAAAGTCTGGCTTCAGTTTCAAGGTGTTGAACACGAGGCTTTTCCGTGCCTTGTTTGTTCGCGTTGCGAGCAGGAAAGGTCTCCGCATCGCCCGCACCGCTCGCCGCCCACCCCCGCCCAGCGCGCACCGCTTCATTGCACCCACGACAGCAACCAGAAAACATGGTTCCCTCCTCCTGGAGTCCTTTATTGAATTTATTGCAGAATGAGCATTCGAATCTCATAAGAGTGAGAGTTCTGCTCTGATTTTGAAATCATACGGTCATAAGAGTTCTGATTTTCAAGGCTGAATCCTCTGAGTGCAAGCAGATACGATGTCTATTAGTCTATCATAAAATGCCAAGTTGGCGCTTCGGGTTTTTTCGCTGAAGACGAACATGGTGAAACATGACATTTCGACTCATCATCCTTCAGGACACATTTGTCGACATGCCATCTTGCTGTGCGGCAGGGGCGGAGGGTGTCAACTGTGTTATGTTTTTCTTTGTGGAGTTTGTCTTTCTACCATTTGGTGTTGTGTGTGTGTGTGTGTCTGTCTTTTCGTTTTTCCAGTTGTTGCGTGTTGCCTAAGCCCTAAAGTTGTCCCGACTGTTGCAACAATGAAAATGTCCCGAAGATGAAATCCTAAAGCGAAAAAGGCACGGAGCAAACCCTCAAGCCCTCAAGTCCTTGAAAGGATGAAAGCCTAAAGCGAGGAAGCCAGAGCAAGCCATGCAGTCGTCCCAAAGATGAGGCCCCAAAGTCGCCCCAGATGAAACCCTAAAGCGAAAGAGGCCGAGCAAAGCCTAAGTTTTTTGTCCCCAAGATAATCCCATAACGTCGTCCCGCAGATGAAAACTCAAAGGGAGGAAGGCAGCTCAAACCCTGAAGTGGTCCCAAGACCCTAACCCAGGGAATACATGTACGACCGACCCAAAGGTTGTTGTTCAGGAGAAACTAACTAACTTTCCGCCGCAGAATTAGTTTCCGAGCGAAAAACTATCTGTGTAGCTCCGGGTTTCTTTCCGGGAAAAGAAACTAACTCCACCCAAAAAAAGTTTGTTTCCTACCCAGAAGGTTAGTTTCGGAGCGAGACACTAACTTCACAGGGGTGGGCTTGTTTCCGAAAGGAGAAACTATCTCTACCCAAAAAAAAGTTAGTTTAGGAGCGGAGACACTACCTCCATCCAAAAAGTTAGCTTCGGAACGAGAAACTAACTCCACCGGGCTGGGTTTGTTTCCGAGAGGACGAGAGGAGAAACTAACTCAGCCGGGTTTGTTTCCGTGAGGAGAAACTACCTCCCTCAAGAAAGGTTAGTTTCGGAGTGAACAACTAACTGCACCCAGAAGGAGCTTGTTTCCTACCCAGAAAAAGGTTAGTGTCGGAGCGAGAAGCTAACTTCACAGGGGAGAAATTGTTTCCGAACGGAGTAACTAACTCCACCCAGACAAGTTAGTTTCTGAGCATAAAACTAACTGTACAGGAGTGGATATGTTTCCGCGCGAGAAACTAGCTCCGTAGTAGTGGGTTGACAACCAAAAACAATCTCGTTGGTTTTTCGCGGCTCAGACAAACTCGTTCCGCCACAGCTTGTTGTTGGTTGTCGAAACACACTCGTTGAGCCGGAGCTTCGAAGTTCGCTAGTTTATTTCCCCCCTCCACCTCCTATCCCCAGACCTTCTGCGGGAGCTTGTTTTCCACAAAGGCCGGAGTTTTTTTGACCGCCGAAACAAACTCGTCAAGCCCTCCCCCCTCCCCGCCTCCTTCCATGCCTTCCCCTCTACCTCTGCCATGGCGCGTTAGTTCATCTCTAGCGAAACAAACCTCTACCCTGCGAGTTAGTTTATCTCTGGCAACCAAAGTCCCGTCCTTGAAGTCTGTTTTTGCTAAAACTAACAACGCCTGCCTCGGTCGTTACTCAGGGACTAGAGTAAAGCCAAAAGTCGTCCCAGCAGGCCCAAGGTGCAGGCCCAAAAACGAGACAGGGGAACGGCCTACCTTGCTGTGCTGCTACATGTAACTTGCGACAGACTATTTGTAAAGACCGAGTAATGCATCACACAGTCTGTCAAGCCTTACATCGCTACAGCAACAACAACAACTGTAGACAGGATTTGTGTTACAACGGGCCCAATGGAATCAGGAATGATATGTGGTCCCACAGGTCATGAAGCGAGTGGCCTTCTATCCTTGGTAAGGACAAGACTACATCCTTCTACTGTAGTCCAAGGCTTAGATGGTACTCGTTACATGTTGTGGCTCGGACGGCACTGGCGGCGGGGTCGGTGCAGACGGCACACGTGCACACGTGCGGAGCTGCCCAAAAGTACAAACACGCTTTCCGACTGCAGTGTTCATGCCAATCTCGAGCAGTCCGTCTTATTGGCGATCAGCTTTTTGACTGTGTTGCCCTTACGCGGTTACAGTATTAGCATATCGTTTCTCGGTAGCGTTATTTTGCCAAAAACATAGAAAGTTTGGTTTTGGTTGTCGCTTCATGTGGAAAGACAACTAGACTCTCCATATAGTCATATTCTCCATATAGTCATATGTCAGACCAGTTATGCGACGGGCTTGACATCTCCTCTATTGGCGCTTGCTCGCCTTATAAAGCCCTAAAGCCTGTACCCCTCCCAGGTGGAGCCCGAGGATAGCACCACGGTGTTGGGGGCAATCCTCGTGTGCCTTATCCAGTTTGCGGATTTCAGGGTTTAGAGTTTAGGAGCGCAGGTCTTGTCCGACAGATTTTCTTGGCACGCTTTGCAGGCAGTGCCGGGAACTTCGGATGCAAGCTTTCTGTCACAGTCTTCGTACTCGTCGTGGCAGCAGCAGTGGCGGTTGGCGGTAGCGTCAACTCTGTCGGCGTAGCACGGTGACCAGCGGGAGCGGCAGTAGTGTTAACTACAGTAGTTCTGTCGCAGCATTCGTCGCGGCAGCATTCGCAGTAGCGTTAATTCTTTCGTCCTACTCGTCGTGGCAGCAGCAAAGGCAGAAGCGTTAAGTCTGGTCCAAGCAAAGAGATTAAGAGATCAAGAGAAGTGATTCATGCGAGCAATGCCAAGAAGACACGCAAGGAGTACCGTGTTTGCTGTATCAGTGTCTGTATCATAGCACATACGATGATATCGCCACCGCCGTCATGATGATCGTCTTCCTTGCGACTGCATTTCCGATGTCATGGTCATGACCATGCTGACGATCATCATGCATTCACGTCATCACATGCGATTGTCGTCATTGTAGCTATTCTGACCGTCGCTTCCGCACTGATTCTGAAGGTTATTGGTGCTGGCTTCAGACTTCATGAACTTTACGTTTCGCCTTGGGGTATCGATGATGGGGAGCCCCAGTTTCCCAGCTTAACATGGAATCTTGACCGTTTGAGGCCTCCCAACACGAGCACCTATGCTCCGCAATTGCTCTCCAAAGCAATGGCAGCCCTCGTTCCAGTCGCCACGGGCTAAGTCGAAAGCTTTCACTTGGACTGGGTTGCGTCGGTCCGGTTCACGGGTTCAGACCGGCTCGATCGTGTTGTACAGCTCGCAGCAATCTCCAACAGACTGGAAGCAGTCTAGCAGAGTCGAGCAGCATTCAAGATGTGAAGTGGATAAAAACTCCTACCGCAAGAGATTGCAACCACCTGTGCAAGTCGTTCATGTCGATAGCGGAGATTTCGCTTAGGTGACATGGTCTGTGACAGCCGAAGCCTGAGATTCGTCAGCGTTCTGCGCTGTTTCGCGTAGTCGTACTATCATTCGCGATTCCTGGTAACTTTGCATTTCGGCTTCTTGGGTCTCATTCGCGCAGAAGGACGACCCGAGTCTGCTCTCATGAACGACGGTTATGCTTCGTTTCCTGGTCAGTTAAAGTTAGTTAGTATCACTTTCGCCAGGTGGTGATGGCAGAGGTGGTGTTGGTTTTGGTGTTGTGGTGACGGTGATTGTGCTGGTGGCTATGACGATGATGATGATGACGATGATGAAGATGCTGCCACTGCTGATGGCGAAAGAGGAGCGCGCCTCACACTAGACCAACTTTGGAGGACATTGGGTTTGGGTGGAGCTTGCAGGGGTTGTAGGAGCGAGAAGAGGGGTGCGCACACACAGGCCAAAATTGGCGGAGTCCCTTGCTTGTCTTTTCCGCGACATGGGTGTGACGGCAGCACCGGGGAATCCACCTTTTTTTTTGCTGTTTCTTATGCCGCGTGGTCAGGCATCGCTCCCTTGGCCTTACCCCTGGCAAAAGAAAGACAGAGAGAGAGAGAGAGAGAGAGAGAGACACAAGACTGCGCGAGCTGGTGCGCAACATCAGGGGGGTGGCTCAGTTCCTGTCAGAGGGGCGCCAAGAAGTATTGGCGGCGGCGAATGACGTGGAGGCTACCCTGGGGGATGTGACCAACGTGGACACGCAGAGCACAGAAGACCAGGGGGACCGCGACGAAGCCGCTTCGGGGCCAACGTCGCTGTTCGAGCCAGTGACAGAAGAGTCGGAGGCATGGCGCCCACCACTGGGGCACAGCAATGGCCAGACGAAGTCCCCACGTCGGCCGAAAGAGCGGAGAGCACACAGAACAGCCAGCCGGGAACAGACCCCAACGAGCCGACCGATGAGGACCTGCTGGCAGCACTCGAAGAGTTCGAAGGCAGACAGAGACAAGAACAGCTGGGGGAAGCTGCGGGTGAAGACGCGGGGGACGAACCACGGCGAGAACTGAGCGACGGTGAGATGAGTGCAGCCAGTCACCGTAGGAGACGCATGCATGCAGTGCTGTATGATAGGCACGGGGGGTTTTGGCATCCTGGGGAACAACCGTGAGTTCTAAGAGTGTGAGTAGCTGTGTTCAATGTGTCAGTGTTGCCGATGCCTCCCGAAAGCATGCAGTGGTAGCGAGCCGAAGCAACTGCGACGAGTGCGAAGTTGTGGTAACTAGGATAGGATTTTCTACGCCGGGGCCTCAGTCTGAGTTTGCTGCAGTCGCGTGCTTTTTTCGGCCGGTTGTGCAGAGCTACCAACTTTACAAGACGGGTCAGAAGGGGGACGAACGGGGCCAAAACGGCAACCGGAGCAATGATGAGGCCTGGGGGTTAACTTCAGGGTCCTAAAGGGGGGATTCGCTGGTGCAGAACGGTCCCTCATCTGACATGTCGGTCTCACACCGACGGCTGACAAGACCAGTGCGCGGTCACGCGCGGGTGCAGTGCGCTGCACCTTGGCTGTGTGCAAGCAAGAGAGAGAGAGAGCGAGACCGGTGCGCCTTCGGGCGCGGGGAGCGCTCGCGTGCTCCTTTGTCCGATTGCAAGCAAGCGAGAGCAAGAGAGCAAGAGAGAGAAAGGGAAGAAGAGAGGCGAACAATGCGACTGCAGTGGGAGCTACCTGGTGTTGTTACCCAAGAGCTGGAGCCATGTGCCCAAGCACCACCGGAGAAGGTTCGAAGGGACCCGCTATGACATGCGGGAGATATGCCGGAACATACCGCGGGGCGCACAGCGGAGCAAGCCTCTTCCTCCTCCACCGCTGCCGGCTTCCGAGACAACGAGGCGACCGCGTTGCGCAGCAGCCACTACAAAACTGTTTGCAACGTGAAGACAAGCGGGGAGGAGAACAATTCCGGAGCACCAGCTACGCCACCGATGAGCGAACTTACGATGGAACTCAGCGGGCTCCCGCCGCTCAGCACGCTCCGAGCGGGTCGCTCCAATTCCCCCAGCCCTGGCGAAAGAAAGAAAGAAAGATAGCTGGATAGATAGTCAGATACAGTAGAAAATCATAGATAAATAGTTAGATAGATAGTAGATAGTTAGATAGAAAACAGATAGATAGATGGGTTGATAAATACATAAACAGATAGACAGACAGAAAGCCAGAGAGAGATGGATGGCCGGCCGGCCGGATGGACGGATAGATGGATAGATTGATAGACAAACAGAAAGATAGACCTGCAGTCGCAGACACAAGCACAGTGTAAGCACAGATGCAGACGCAGACAGAGACAGACAGAGACAGAGATCGAGAGGTAGATAATTCGGTACTTGGTAGACAAATGGGTAGACAACAGCTAGATAGCTAGAATGCTCGGTTGATGCATGCAAGCACAAACCTACGTCACATGCCGTTGACGGTGAGCAGACTGTGTAAGTTCCGGAGCCTTTCAGCCGACCCAAGCTATAGAAACACCGAAACGAAGGCAGCGACACGCAATGGTGCTGCCGTGGTTGTTGAGCCGATAGCAAGCCAACCTTCTGCTGGAGGCAGAGATGCGATCTCATGACTGGTACGAACGTCTTCATGCTCATGTTCATACTGTAACCCCGCAACGTGGATCCCTTCGCCATGGAACAACTCAATCCAACACCTGCAATCAATTGTAAGTCGCCGTTCCAAAGGCAAGCGACACCTTGAGTTTGCAAGCATGACTTTAAGACTGCAGTAGAACGGGCGGTCAGCAAATTGGAAGTTGAGGCACGGCCGACGGTTGCACATAAATTCTGTGGGTTTTGGAATGGTTTGTAGTTGTTTCGTATTTGAGGATTCACGTTTCTCGACCTTGATCCTGACCGCACCATTGCAGTCCTTGCCTATCCTGAACAACCCACTTTCGTTTTGTCTCGTGTTTAACAGTTTTCAAGAAGGAATTTGAGCAGAAGCATCTGTGAACATCGGCTTTTCCATGACTAGGCGATGCAACTGATCGCTCCACTTGTATTCCCCCTCCGTCTGGGTGAGACAGTTGCTGAGCATAGCAGGTAGGCGACGAGGTACAGAGTCTCTTGAGATTTAGCGACTGTTGGCCGATCGGCGCAGCGAGAATCAGTCCTAGGTACCAGGTAAAATATGTTCTAGAGACTCGAAACCCTTAGTTTGAAAGCCTGTCTTGGCATACAGTGCTAAAGTGCAGAGTTCAGGTATGTCTGATCGAAAATTGTGAATTAAGGGTTAGGGTTTTCTTGCATGCTCGCAAGCATCATCCGACCAGTGTAGTATTCGCACTGATTGCAAATAGATGCTTGTACCCGTCTTGGATTCCGGCACAATCCCTGTGTCCTAGAACCTGCACCTGCTACTGTGGCAATAGCTCGGTGACAAGGCAAATGCTGAAGCCCAAGCTTTTTGGGCGCATTCAATACCAGGTTTCGAGGCTGGGTTGGAGGTGATTGGGGGTTTGGGGCATTGAATTCTTTGCGCAGCGAAGGCCACGAAGTGTAGCAGAGTGCACATCTGACAGGTGGCTTTCTCAGCATTGGCCCTGGGCAGCTGGCCCCGGGATCCGAGGCTTTGAGATTTTTCCAGTTTTGCTCCTGCATGCCAACTCCCTCCCTTGCGTCTATGGGGTGGCCGAGCCCAGGCCTGAATTTCGGAGGTGTCGCGCTGGTCGTCCGGCTCGTGTTCAGAGTTGTCAGTGAGTTGAACATAGCCTGCTACCACTACTACTACTACGACGACGACGACGACTAAAACTACGACTAGCGCGACCACCCCCACCACCTACCGACCACACCACGACCACGTCACGACCATGCCAACAGTACCAGTGCCACGATGGTCACCACCACGACGACTACGACCACCGTCGCCACCAGCTACCGCGGCGCTGTATTCTGCATGCAGATCCTCGTCGAAGTGGAGATGGCCTTGGTTCCGCCTGGAGATGCAGGCAATGTGATATTCCGTAAGCTAGCACACGAATGGATGAAGCACTTTGTTAGCACAGGCTGGCATGTCTTTCAGCATTCTGCACTGCCTTGCCCACTAGGATTCCACGTCAGTTAGTCGTATGTGCCCAGGTGGCACAGCGAACCATGCAAGACATACCTGTCTCCGCGACTCTTTCAGCTCGAACGAGGTATTGCCGGACCTTCTTATTGAAGAGCTACGTAAGATAGTTGCCGGCTAGCTCGAGACCGACGCATAGCATGGCACGAAGGCCCGGCATGCCGAGCCCCTTCATGGCAGAAGGCAGCAATCCTGGAGCCTTGCCAAGAAGCTCTCTTGGGATCGGACAGGGGGGTTACCTGGCTACTTCCAGGCCCAGTTCTTCCGCAGGCCCATCCATCAGCCAGAATCTGGGTCAGATGGGTCACTCTACGAAGGTTCCGGTTCATCCCAAATCAGGCATGCCAAGCGCCACTCCGATCGCAAAATGTGTCGCAGAACCTCCAGACATGCTGCAGCTCCACCTTGCTGGCAAGTGTTATCCTTGCGTGGCCTATGCCCTCAAACCAGCAGGCTGTTTTAAGGGTGCGCAATGCATGCATTGTCATTTCTGCAATGCAAAGGAAGCCAAAGCCAGGAGGAGGGAGCTGCAGCAGGCAGCCCGAAGGCGTAAGCGCAGGGAAAACGCCTTAAAGGACCTCGGTGGCGAAGGCGAAGGTGACGATGATGACGAAGACCACGGCCAGTTCGATGTGCAGAATGCCAACGAGCAACACACCTCAGGTGCATCTGATCCCCAAGTCTCGGACAAACCTGCGGAGCAGCCGAGGCAGTTGCCGAATCATGTTCCCATGACGCCATGCCCAATGTTGCCAGCAGATCTGCAACCAAGTTTCGGAGGTTGCGGGAAGCAGTCTTTCTGGCTGTGAGGATCCCGTGGCAAACATGCCTGCGCTCTGCTCTGCAGCCGCTGTCAGGCGTGCAAGCTACACTGCCATGCACGAGTTAAGCACGCTTAGTGTAGATCGGCCAAGATAGCTCACGGCAGCGCTCAGAGTCTCAGAGCCCAAGCCATAGCGTTTCCGGAAAGGCATGATTTAAGAGAGGGGACGAAGCTATCAGGGTGCCACTCACCAAGGCATAAGAGACATGCAGCGAGGGAGATGAGTCGAACGAACGTCACTATGCGAGAGGGCAACCTGCGGACTGGACAGTCTTACTGTCGCGATCCATTCAGGCCAACAGCCAGTTTCACGGTTCTACCGACGCATGTTTTGCTGCTTTCAGCTTGCGTGGGAAGGTGCCGCAGATGTAAGGGTTTTCACGAAAAGTAGGTGCAGGTTTTAAGGTGCTGTAGTTTTCGTTGCATCCTAGCATGTTTTTGGTGGAATCAACGGAAATAGAGACCCTGTCGTGGACATGGTCCAGTTCTGAGTTCCTGACCCACGCTTTTGCATAGAAATGGTACGTGCTGGCGCACTAGTAAGTACAGTATGTACAAACTATGCATGTGTGCCTTACATGCGCATCACCGTACATACATAAATGCATACCCCATAGCAGTCCCGAGCATGGTTTGTCAGGAGAGGCGGTGAGGCCAACGGGGTCGGATCTAGCCTTCACCAGAATATCACGCGTCCAATCTCCGAAGAACTCCAAGATTCCTTAATGTCGAAACCTCAAACAATCAAGACTTCCACAGTTTCCCAAAAGTCTTCAAATCTGCAACATCTACCAAAACCTCCAATTATTCGCAGGCTCGCGTGTTACACTTCGCACAGATCTGTTTAGGCAGACAGATAGCTAGACGTGGACTTTGATTAGTAATTGTCATCGACATGGGTACAGGATGCGGCATGGCTACAGGCCGACAGAGGTTCCGCAGAATGGACCGTCGATCCATTGTATACATATAGAATGATGTTTTAAATATTTTTTAATATAGATAGTCACATATACAGACATAAAGACATGTGTTTACTCCATTTTTGGCATCCTACGTCAAGCAAGATCCCACTGCGGGTGCCCAGCCTCGCGCAAGCTGGAGCTGGAGGATTTGTGTGGACACAGATCCTGCCCCAAATCTATCCGTCAGTCCGTCAGTCATGTGGCCACCACGTCACTACGTGGCTCGTGACTTCTGATCTCTTGCTCATAGACGCCAGTCCGGTTTGGGCAGTGTCCATTCACTTGGGTTCTTTTGGGATAGTGAGTGTCTTTGGATCGTTTGTGTGCTAGAGTAGTCACGTAGTGTCGACATGCGATTTGGAGCCGAAAGGTGCCCAAGCGAGCAAGCAAGATTTAAAAGTCGTCTTGACTTTTTGTTTGCAAGTTTTCATGCTCACACCTTTACATCTTCCTCCGAGCTGATCTCCGAGTGAGTCATGGGGTGATGTCTTGCGCTGCAGTGCGAGCATGGAAACATAAAAGATGCTCCCGTGAATGGAGACTTGGGAAAGCATCTTCTAATTAGTGCGAGGTGTCGCAGAGCCTGGCAAACCAAACCCTATCTTCACAGTTTTAAACGGGCCCTAAATCCTAAAAACTGAACCCAAGACCCTGAATCGTAAAGGTTGGTACCAGCTGTCTTCCCAGTGCTTGGTGCGTTGCAGCCAAAAGTCCGCTTCGTGGCCCAAGCCAGGGTTCAGGCAGCTGCAGGGCGCTATTGGCCTTACCGATAGCTACAGCCTCGCAATGCCTCAGAGAACGGGGGGTTGCTCGCTGAGACTTGCTCTCATGGTTTTTGTTCGACCATGAGCCATGGGCTCTCGTTACCTGGTGCTTCGGCTCTATGGCATCATAAGTCATCATGTCATTCTACATTTGCTTTGCGTCCGAGCCCTAGAAAGCAAGCAGCAAGCGCCGGAAGCAGCTTACGAAGACCAAGCGTGGACCACAGGGCATGATTTGTAGAGATCCGCATAAATTGGTCTTTGGATGCTGTCTTTCGTGCTGAGTCGCGCCTTCGTGCAGCACCTGCCTGCGCATCAGCTCTCCTGTCTGTAGTTTGGCAGGTAGGAGACGAGAATGCGTCGCTGTTTACAAACTCCTCCACGGAGTTGCCGGTGCTCAGCCAGCTTGAGCACCAGCACCGAGAAGCACCACAAGCAATACGACCAGGACAGTTTGTTATCGCTGTTCATCTCTGTCGTCATCATTCTGATTTGCCTCATCATCATCTTCATCATCCTCATCATCCTCATCATCCTCATCTGCAGGTAATCCTGATGCTCGTCATCATTCTCCCCGTTAGTCTTGGACCTTGTCGAGCTCATCAACATAATCGTCATCGGTCTCCTCCTCCTCCTCCTCCTTTGTCATCAGGCACCATTCTCATCACACAATCTTCTTGTTCTTCATCAGCTTGGTCAGCATCATGGTCAGGATATCCATCTCCACCATCATCATCCTCGTCTTCTTCTTGTACTTACAACGACAACAACGGCAGCTGCAGCAGCAGCAACAGCAGCACCACCAACAACAACAGCAACAGCATGAGCAACAACAACAACAACAACTACTACTACTACTACTACTACTACTGCTACTACCACTACAACTACTGCTACGACGACGGCGAAAACGACGACTAAAGCTACGACTAGCGCGACTACCCCCCACCACCTCCACTACCATCCCACACCACCCCTACCACCCATACTACCACTGCCAAAACCACCACGACCCCGAACACCACCAACACGACCGGTACTATCATTACCACTACCAAGCGTCGTAGCACTAGTGGCAGCAGTAGTCGTAGTCGTAGTCGTAGTCGCAGTAGTAGTAGTAGTAGTAGTAGTAGTTGTAGTAGTAGTAGCAGTAGTAATAGTAGTAGCCGTAGTAGTAGTAGTAGTAGTAGTAGTAGTAGTAGTGGTAGTAGTAGTAGTAGTAGTGGTAGTGGTAGTGGTAGTGGTAGTGGTAGTGGTAGTGGTAGTGGTAGTGGTAGTAGTAGTAGTGGTAGTGGTAGTAATAGCAATCGTAGTAGTAGCCGTAGTAGTAGCAGTAGTAGTAGTAGTTGTTGTTGTAGTAGTCGCAGTAGTAATAGTAGTAGTCTCGCAAGCAGCAGCAGCAGCAGCGGCAGCAGTGGTAGTACTAGTGGTAGTAGTAGTAGTAGTAGTAGTAGTAGTAGTAGTAGTAGTAGTAGTAGTGGTAGTAGTAGTAGTACTAGTACTGGTACTAGTACTAGAACTAGTACTAGTACTAGTAGCCATGGTCGAAGTAGTAGTAGTAGCAGCGGTGGTGGTGGTAGTAGTGGTAGTTGTTGTTGTTGGTAGTAGTAGTAGTAGTAGTAGTGTAGTAGTAGTAGTAGTCGTCGTAGCAGTTGTCGCAGCCGCACCAGTAGTAGTAGCAATAGTAGTAGCAGTAGTAGTAGTAGTAGCATCAGTAGTCGTAGCAGTGGTAGCAGTAATAGTGGCAGTAGTAGGATAGTACTGGCAGCGACAGGAGTAGCAGTTTTGTAGTAGTAGTTTAGTAATAGTAGTAGTAGTAGTAGTAGTAGTAGCAGTAGTAGTAGTAGTAGCAGCAGCAGTAGTGGTAGTAGCGGCAGTAGTAGTGCAGTAGTAGCAGCATTAGCAGTAGTCGTAGTAGTAGTAGTAGTAGTAGTAGTAGTAGTAGTAGTAGTAGTCGTGGTAGTGGTAGTGGTAGTGGTAGTGGTAGTAGTAGTAGTAGTAGTAGCACTAGTAGTAGTAGTAGTAGAAGTAGTAGTAGGTAGTAGGTAGTAGAAGTAGTAGCAGAACATGTCTGCTGCAAAAGCTAAGCTACACAGCACCACCTGGAAGTCCTACAAGACTGCACAGCTGGGCAAAGGTCAAAGGGAACATGCAAGCGACCTTCTCGGATGGATCGCTCCGACCGTGCTTTGAGGCAATCTCCACTGGCAGCTTCTCTGTGCAGACCTGCTTCAAAGCTCCGTCGGTACGACCAGTTGTTTCGAAGACAGAGGGCGCCACCACCACGACGACGATGACGACTACTCCTCGTACTACCACGGCTATCACGGCTACGACTAATACAAGTCCTTCGATAATAATCAGCATCACCGCCATGATCCTCATCTTCATCATTTCTTTTGTTGTATGTTGCTATCCTTGCCTACATTCTGCAGACTCTTCTCCTCTTCCCTGCAGTCCCTTCGCCGTCATCATCGCCATCATCTTGGCATTTCCGCCAACGTAGCTATCAGCATACTCAGCATCATGACCGTCACGGTCGTCTACAGATCTGCTCTTCTGTTCTCCGTTGGCTCCCTTCTTTCCTGTCGTTTCACCTCGTCCTATCCAACCAGTTCTCCTCTCATCTCGTTAATCTCGTCTCATCTCATCGCATCTCGTTTCAACACCATCACCATCGTGATCATGATCATCGGCATCATCTTCGTGCTCGACATTGTCGCCATTATCATCATCGTCATTATCATCATTACCCTCAGTAACTACGATATACCCTCCAACCTCGGGCCGATTCATAGATGGTGCTTCGATCTTTGGCCGATGTTCCGGCGAAGCCTCTCCAAGGTTGGAACTGCCTGGGACACCACAGTCGAAGCGGTCCCAGCGTAGCTGATACTTGGAATGAGTACTCAATGGAGTGATTTTTGAAAGAGATCGGCAAAAGTACCTGGAAGCCGTTGGAAGGCCTTCAAATCTCCGACCATGTTGTTGCGGATGTGTGGACTTCGGATTTGCCTTTGCGCCCTGGTCTTGTTTCTATCACTGTATGTGTGCATGGCAGGGCTTTCCTGCACTATATTTCTGCGTGGTCCTCGTGTGCAGCGGGTCAGGAAACTGAAGTATGCTCGGCGAATTCAGAGCTGCTCCAAATGTGGAGTCTCATCCCACGGCATCACTTTAGAGAACCTGCGTACAGCAAGCTTGGAGATGAGATCCCACATCTATGTGTCTAGACTTGCAGCGGAGTGGTTGATAAGTGTCTCACTTGCCGACTAGACTTGGGACGTTTTGAGCATGCCATCTCAGCTTTGCACCAATCGTGGTCACAAGTCTGGTGAGGCTTCAGGACATTTTTTCTTCGGTGACAGATGAAAAAGCGACTGGCTCAGCACCACTTGGTTAATGCCCCTCGATCAACCGTGGAACCGACGACGTGCCCTCAGTCCACTGTTTTTGCATAGGCTGGCTTTCTGGTGGTATAGTCTGCATCTAGAGTCTTCAATAGTCACACGAACACTGAACCACCTTGTTGATTACTCATCCAGTCTTGGATGGACTCATTGATCATGCCGAGAATTATTTTTGCGATAGACTGGATCGGGAATATCAGAAACTGGGCAAACAAAGCTGAATTAGGACGGGTTTTACCTTGCTGGCTGAGGGTCCAAGTTGTTTGCAAGTGCCTGGGTTAAACTTCAAGTAAGGCAGAAAAGGAAGCAGCTATACGAGCATAGCAGATTTGACACAGCGCTCTAGGGCATTTTCAGAAATGATGCCGCCCCCCCCCCCACTGCTTCTCTGAGCATTAAATTCATTGGAATTTTCAAATTTGCGAAAGCCCTCCACTGCTGAGTGTCCTCGGCGCTTTCACCTAGGACCCAGAGTTCTCAGCCAGAAGTTTAGATTCCATTGCCATGGCCAGAAAGTTGGAATCAGTAGAATATCAGTTCGGAAGAGATACGAGGAAATGTCCGGTCAGGCTCCAGCAGCTGCCCTGTGTCTCTGCTTGAAGTGGTCTTGGGTTTGGAGTTTGGAGCCTTTCGCAAATGAGACGAGCTTCGTCGTGGTCCAGGGCCTAGGGCCTGCGAATCAGGCTGAGGTTTTCAATTTTCGGATACTGGAAGACGAAAGAGTCTTGGTCGCCACCCAGCCTTGGGTTTTTGCAGGCTGGTATGCAAAGGAAGATTTGCATTGTTGAGGCAAGAGCTACCGGATCAGTATGGGATTCTGAGTCAGCGACTCAAAACCGTGAACTGAAAGCCTACTGTTAACAGTGTTCGCCTCGCTTCCTCTCGTAGTGCCAATCCAGAATACCCCAGGCCAAGCTCACACATTTGTTTGGCATTAGCTGCAAGCAGCTTCCCTTCTTTGGACATCTGTGCTTGAGAAAGTAGACCCAAACGAACGACTGCTGCCAGGTTTTGTTGGCCACTTTTGTCATGACGCGAGTCTGTCAAAGCTAGGATGTCACTTTCAGTCAAGGAGCTGTGAGTGGGAGCAGGCAACGCACTCCGCACAGCCAGGTGACGATATCAAGTCCGCTTGAAAAAGTCTTCATGGGTTGGAGCTAGCCTGGGAAGGGAACTGGCATGCTCTTCCACACCAACTTGGGCAGTCGCCCTGGGTGGTGCGGGTCACTGGCAATTCTCGGCGCCGCTCAAGGGTGGGGCTGTAGGCTTTTTTCCATTTGGGCGCTCAGGCAGCCAGGTACCGTCGTCGGCAAAGGCAGGCAGCAGAGGTTGACGACACCACTCTTCAATGCTTCAGCTCCAACCATTTCTATCCTGGCATGCGAAGTGTCAAGCCCGCAACCTGTGATTCGTGCCTCAAGGTGCCTTTGCGCACGATGCGGCAAGAGGCGCCGCCTTTCACAGCGAAATCATGTTGCAGACTATGTAGCGTTGCTTTGCCGAATGCCAGTGCCCACATTACTGTGGGGTTCAGTCGGAAACATTGAGCAGGCAGATAAACTTGGAGATAGACAGACATCGGCATACCTGGCGATGAAGATGCTCGCGAGTAAGATGAGAGATGGATCGGCAAACTATCATGTCTGCGCAAGCGACCGAGCGTGAGAATTACTTTCATGTTGTAGGGGCTGCGCGCGAGCCTTTGCACGTACGAAAAGCCCATAGCTGGTTTTTCCGCATATAGAGGCACGTATCTGTATGTGTTTTCGAGGGGGTGAAGATCTTCAATGGGCTTAAAGACTGTTTGGATTTGGGCGCAACGCAACCGCGCGACGGCGTGAGCCCCAAACTCCCCACTCTTTCGGATTGAGCCCACGCCACACCCGAATCCTACAACTGTTGCATGTTGTCGCCGAAGGCAGTCCTGGCGGTGAACTTGCCGCCGGCAGCAGGCTATCTCAAGGTGGAAGAGAGCCAGGCTCCCTTGTCTGCTGCTCTTCTTCCGTATGCCGATGCCCGACATTACTCTTGAGTGCCATCTTTAATGCTATAGGGATTCGTTCCTGAAAGTTACTACTCACGATGGCTGGCCGCACGGAGTGTGCCATGTGATACGTGTGGCGGTAGGTGAACTCGCCGCTTCGGACCCTCATGTTGGAGAACATGCGCTGGTCTTCAGAAGTTCTACCCCTCCAGTGCTGCCCCGAGCGGGCATGTTGCGTTTCACTCAGGTCCATACCTTGCATGTGAATAGATGTCCCCAGCATCAGAGAAGAATTCCTCGCGAACCGCACGTTGCCTGCCAGAAGCCCCGGACGACTCTTGCCCCAAAGTGTTAAGGTACCGCTTTGAGGCTGCCCACCTCCAAGCACAAGGCCGTCACGGGAATTCGGGAAATGAAGGGAGCTTTTGCTTGGCGTTTTCTGACTTCCCTTGTGTCTGTGCCCAGTCACGTGAGGCGAGCGCCGACTGTTCCTGAGCGACTGGTCCTACGATCCCAAGTTGACTGCTTCCAAGCTGCAAGTCGCATTCCTTGACCTGCTAGCCAACAGTCTGCCAGCTGGGTCAAGTAAAGACGGGCATGCAAGTTCAAGCTAGATTGTGCGGCATTCGCTGGGTGCGGTCGCAGACCATAGGATAGAAGTTTCCTCTCCTCTCCTCTAAATCAAAAGCCCAAATCTTCTGGCAAGCGCGACAAGCAAGGTGGTTTTCCTGCCCCGCACAGAGGAGAAGCTGCTCTTGCGTGGACAGGACCCTCACTGATGCGGGAATGGGACAGACCCCAACATGCACCAATCTGGACCGCAAATACACGGACCTTGTGATTGGACCTCAGCATGTTTCTGAAATCGACCACCCGGTCTCTCAAGCCGAACTTGCTAAGTCCATGAACACTAAGCTAGAAGTCCAGGTTCGAGACGGACGTGGTACTTTCGCCGCTACTGCGCCGGAGTGCCTTCAGTGAATATCTTCAGTTTTTCGGTGGCGGTGAGGGCTTGACATGGAGATGCTTCTGCCCTCTGTCAGTGCGTCAGCGTGCCGGAGGAACGACAGCCCCGAGAGTTTTGAGTCTTTTACAGCCAGCCGAGGACGGTCCAGTTGATCTCGAGTGCTTCTGATGCACCCCGGCAACATCAGCAAGAGGGGACTATGCCGAAGAGGGTCTTAAAGCATTCCATTCGCCCCTGCCCAGGAGAGCGGGCTTCGTGCAATCACTGCCGCCCGTCCGCGAAATTCGACACATCCGCTTGTGGTGTAAATAGGTTCGGTTTATGTGAGTGACGCCTGAGCCAGAGCACCTAAGCCTTCTTGGAAAGGAGTTTCAGCAGGGCCGGATGTCAGCCGCCGACTACTCTTCAAGGAGCCGGGAGCATCGACAGAGGCCCTTGAGCCCATCTCCAGCCCGTAGCTGCAGGAAGGTTGGGGAGTCAATCGCGCAGATCCAAGCAGCGGCTGCAGATCTGGAGCCCCTCCAGCAGCTGCAACTCTGGCAGGCGAGGCTCCACGGGCACGTTTCGCTCCGAGTTCTGGTGGGGTCAGCCAGAGATCATTCCAGAATCCTGACTCCACCGGAACATCCCAAGTTGCGAGTCAAAGGGAGCAGCGAAGACAGGGCACTTGTCCCGAGTCTGCATTTGCAGAGCTGAGCAGAGTGTGCCTCCATGGTTTGATGATATTGGTGTGCAAAGCTGCCTCCGGTGGGATCAGGATGTTGCGTTTGCAGCTTTGAGCGATGCGGACAACATCACTGTGAGCAACTGCTCGAAGGACTCTCTGCTTCTCTCTGTCTCTGTGTTTTTGCGTCTCTATGTCTCTGCGTGTCAGGGTGTCCGTGAGTCCGTGTAAGCGTGTCTCGCGTTCTCTTTGTGTGTGTGTGTTTGTTTTTGTGCATGTCTCTGTCTGTGTGTGTACGTGCGTGCATGTACGTGTGCGCGTGCATGCACGATGTGTGCGCACGCATTGAGTGATTGTCTCTGTGTGTGTGCGTTGGTTGTAGTACTGTGTTGTATTGTAATCGTATAGAGTTCCCGAAACACTATGGGGTTCTTGCGGCAAGTGCAAAGAGAATTGATTGAGCCGTGCGTGCGGAACAACTGCTCCCAGCTTCCTTTATTATTTACAGTAAATGCTGCAAATCCTGTCCCCGCGTCTCATTACTTACATGCGTCGGAAGCGCGTCTTCCGCTGTGATGCGTTACATACGTTTCGCTGGAATCGTTTTATTCACAGAGGATTCTGCGTGCTGTGCGCTATGCACCACGTATCTTGTGGCTTTCTTGGTGATCTCCTGCTGGTTTCTTCGTGGAGACCCTTGGTGGTCTCCAGGTGGTCTCTCGGTCGTGATGAAATGAAACGAAATGTAGTTTAGTGTAATTGCATGTACCGGCATGTAACGATATTTAAACGGTATGTAACGGTACGTAAATGTAATGGTATGTATGTAATGGTCCGTATGTGTGTAAGTAAGTAAGTTTGTTTGTATGTATGTATGTACGCAGGTACGCATGAATGTATGCATAGCAGTGCATAGCAGGATGGAGCACGTGCATGTGTGTACGTTCGTCTAGCCAGGCATCATTCACGCCTCATGTATGTCCCCGTGAACGTGGTGCCAGGTGTGTAGTATCGCGTTGAGTTTGGTATACCACGGCATAGGTATGCATAGGTGCTAGGCATATAGTAGGTATATATTTTAGCGATGAGCCAACTTTTCCGTTCCACTGTCTGCCCACACGAAATCACAAACCTGATTGATAGGACTGCGGACCCAACGGAGCATGTCCGGATCCGGAGTACGTGTCGCGCTGAAGGGTCAGCCTGCGTGTCCTCCGCAAAAGAGACACAGCAAGTAAGGTGGTAATGGTCGGCAATACCGTGGTGGCGGCGAATGCCTCCCGGCTGAAACAAGAGGGTGAATCAGGTTGACCTATGCTCCCGCTTGCCGCCAGAATGGAACAGTAGAGCAAGTGTTGGAATGCCTTTTGGTTGGCAGCTGCACATCAAGCCCATCCTTTGCATGCAAAGCCTGCGGCGGCTGAAGTTGTGGCTGCAAGACTTTCCCATACCTCGCACATACGATGCAACTGTTAAAACAATGGGGGCGGCAGCCAAACCACACCACCAAACCACACCACTTCGCCGTGAAGGCCAGTCCAAACACGCCGGTCTCCGGCGGGGAAAGGCTGCTGCAGGTGCAGAGCTCCTTGGCACCGCAGCACAGCTCTAAGGCTCTAAGGGTCTATACCGGGTTTTACTGGGTGAGGTTTCCAAGGGTGTTTTGTTTTTAAGCTTTGAGCCCGCCAACCTGCCTACCTACCGACCTACTAGCCACCTATTGGCTACCTATCCACCTACCTGCCAACCCACTGGCCCACCCATCAGCGATCTATCTTTGTCTCCATCTCTCCATCTTTGTCCTCGTCTCGTTTTCTCCAATTGTGAAAACCACCTCACGTCTGTAGGGCGGCGTTGACGTCACTTTCACGATGAGCCTGATGTAGTACATGAATCGACTAATGCCAAAACGGCATGCAGTCTTGCAAACATGCACAAATGTGTTTCGACCGCAGACGTCTTGAGACCGTCAGCAAAAAGGCTAGCTACCGTGTGCCGGCGTACCCAAGCCCCTCAGATTCCGCTTCAAACTCATGTATTGCGAACAGCCATGTATACAGCAAAACCCTACACCCGACCCCAGTCCATTCCTGAGGTTGGACTCGCTGCGTTTGCAACACCGGCTGGCAGGGCCAGGCTTGTGAGTCCCGGACCTTTGAGGCCGCATCCTGTAGTGTCCTCATAAGGGTTGTGCAGAGGGATCTATACACACATGCATTCACGGTACTTCATCCAACTAGTCAGATACCATCAGATACAGTACCAGTAGGTTAGGGTAGATCTCCAAGCCGTCATATCGCCGCGGTCTCACAGCAATCCCACGTGGCAGCGCGCAGGAAATAACGTTCCCGGGACGCGGCTCGCGCTGTGGCCCGGTGCACACAAGATGTCATTTACACAGGATCTGCTGGAAACTCTGAATCGCGCTAGTACTCTGGGGAGGATTTTGGAAGTCCTCCAGAAATCCCTCAATGCTTGGGGAAAAGTCGCCACGCTCCTGAATCGCCAGTACTTCGGGGAAATACCTTGGCGGTGATCCTGAATCCGCCTTTTTGGGCCGTACTCCTTCATCCCACAAGTTTTGGCGTCTTGCCTGGGGCCTCTTGGTGGTCTCCTCACTCCTCGTGGTCCCTGGTGGTCGGGGTACTCGTGTTCGTCGCAGTTGAGCAAACTGAAGGGGCGTCTGCGGGGACTGCAAGTCTGGGATGATCGTTACAAGATATTTAGGGCTGGCAGGTTTGCAGCATGCGGCTTTGAGGTGGGTTCAAAGTAGGGCCAGGCCGATGTCAAGGGCGAATAGCACTTTTGCTGCAACAGGACAAAAACTGTGCAAACAGGGGCCTTCTGCGGTTCGAAGGTCCTTTAACCTCAGGGTCCCTTCATAGCCGTCGGTACGAGCACTGCTGATCCAGGCCCAGTCGCAGGAACTCCTGACAAAGACGGTGACAGAGGCCCTGCAGGGCCTCTTGGGCTCGGCACACCAGCTGCAGGCCGGGCTTCAAAAACATGTCCCTGTAGTTTCTGGAGCTCTTGAGTGAGCAAAGCAGTGCGGTTGAGAGTCGCAGTGGTAACACTGTGGCAAGCATCGGATGCCCTGAACACACAGCAGTGCAGTGTGTAGCCGACAGCCCCATTGTCGTGTGGCTGTTGCCTCAAAGATGTTGCATGCAGGTGCTCGGGATCACATATAAGCAAGGCCAGCTGCTGTACGTGCTGTGGTGAAGACAAGATGATTTAGCAATTTTCATACCGTTGCTCACCCCGTCAAAGCCGGCACTGCAGGAGCACTGGCCAGGCTCATGAGACTGCTCGGGCGTCTTTGTGAGGACTGTCGGTGGCGACCTCAGCTGTCAGGTACGCCAGGTGCATCTGTACTTTAAAAATTACCTCCCATGCCTGCAGTGCTCCCAGGCGGGTCTCCTTGAATGTCTTGGCATCCATCACTGGCCTCGCAGCAGGCGCCCACAGAGCAGGGCCCACCGCCCTCGATGCGGAAGCTTCGCCAGTCTCTGCGCCACAGTCCAGTCAGTCCAGGCCTGGCGGCGGCGTTGCCGAAGGCGGCGCTGCGCGTCGCCGCCACAGACACGGCTGCCTTGTGCGGGCCCCAGCAGAGCGGGCAGCGAGCCCCTCGACACTCGCAAGAAGTAGCCAGAGTTCCAAATGCAAGGATGTCGCGGATCTACTCATGCCTCCCAGACGAGGACAGGTTTTGGACTTGGCATTCGCACTCCTCAAATTTTAATACTAGAGACACAGCCACTTTGATGGCCATCATCTGAGAATCCGGCGTGTCAGCATCATTGTCGTTCTGGTCTTTGTCCTCCCCTCCTTCTCCTCCTCATCCTTATCATCGGCATTATCCTCCCCAGATCTCATGACCAGTCATATGTCGTCTGCGACCGTCGTCATCGTTGGTTTAATGAAAAAATCAACATCTTCAGATCTTCATCACAACCTACAGCTGATGCTACGGGTCCTGCTGCAAGTGCTGCCGGGTGCAGGAATCACATGTAGGACTCGGTTGTTCAGCTGCGTCAGCTGTCAGCTGCACCAGCACCATCCTCATCATCATCATTATCATCACCGTCATCGTCATCATCACTAGTGGTAGTAGTAGTGCTAGTATCACTTGTAATGCTTGTAGTACTTGTAGTACTAGTGCTAGTACTAGTACTAGCACTAGTAGTACCAGCAGTACCAGCAGTAGTCGTCGTCGTCGTCGTAGTAAGAGTAGAAGAAGAAGTAGTAGTCTTAGTAGTAGTAGCAGGAGTAGGAGTCGTAGTAGTAGTAGTCGTCGTCGTCGTCGTAGTGGTAGTGGTAGTGGTAGTGGTAGTAATAGCAGTAGTAGTAGCAGTAGTAGTAGTAGCAGTAGTAGCAGTAGTGGCAGTCGTAGCAGTAGTACCAGTAGTAGTAGTAGTAGTAGTAGTAGTAGTAGTAGTGGTAGTAGTAGGTGAAGTAGGGCTAGAGGTAGGGGTGGTAGAAGAGATTTGGCGTGGGTAGGGGGGTTGGGGGAGGGGTGGTGCAGGGGTAGGGGTAAGGGGGTAGGGGTTGGGGGAGGGGTAGGGGTAGGTAGGGGTAGTTGTAGAAGTACAAGCAGTCAAGCGCAGGAGGCGTCGTATTCCTAGTAGAGCTATGGATACTAATCTGATCTCACCCATAGTACAGGTAGTAGCACTATCAGTCATCAATAGGCGCACTGGTCACGTTACTGGTACTAAGTAGTGCTACTTGTTTCTGTACTGTCTGCCGCCACGAACAACCCAAGCCAAACGGTCACCAGTCTTGCTAGCAAGCAGCAGTAGCAGTCGGTTGTACAAGTGACGGTCGCATTCCGCTTTGGCAGCGACGTGCAAAAGAAGAGTCGCGGCAATCGCAGTAGCAAGATGGAAACGGTCATCGTTGTCTTTGCAGCTCGGAAGGCTCCGAGCAACTCCATGGCTCAGATGCCAGCACCTGCTACGGTGCTGCTCACAGCTTTGGGCAGCAGTGAGGACGGCGGGGGGCACCAGGGGCCGTGTCAGAGAGGATGTCGAAAGGTTTTTTGCCGGAGTGATTTCTATCGAGCCTAAGGAACTAGGATGCTTGATAGGTCTTTATCAGGTGGCAAGTGACATTCTTGCAGGCTGCCATATCCAGGTTGGCAGACTGCATCGTCTTGTCTGGTGGTAGCGGACATCCCGGGCCGGTGGTGATGTTCCTGATGATGGGACAGTGCCATATTCTGAACGCAGGTGTGGAAGGTTCTGATTCTGATGCGATCGCCAGGTTTGTCGACCCATCAACGGGACAAACACCACGGTCTGCTACGACCTGGCGAGCTCCGAGGTCACAGAGATGGTAGCTGCGTGTCCTACATACTCACCCATTTCTGCTTGTGCATGTGTGTGTGTGTGCGCACGTGTACAAAAAAGGTCTGCATCTGAATAGACGGACGGACTGATGAAGAGAGGTCGAAATCAGATGAGTATCTCAGCCTGATTCGCCTTCTTCCCGGATTGTCTGTCTGCCCGTGGAGATCTCGTGTACTGGCTGAATGTCCACTATCATTATTCTAGACGATCCTAGCTGCGGTGATTCATAATGGCTTGTTTTTTCGAGAAGGGGTGGGCCTCTTTGCTGGATCGCTCACAGGTAGCGATTCAGCTTAGGGAACCCGCCAATCTAGCGGAACTCGGACTGCGAAGTGAAGCTAGCACTGTTGCAGGCAGTTGTTGGATCGATGTTTGCCTCTTGCTGTTCAGACCGCCTGTGAGTGTCGGATAATGTCAATGTCTATGTTGGATTGAGACTGAGATGATAAGTACATCTGCGAGAAAGATCCCAACCCAAAAGGATAAGATCAATGACGAGCCGTTATTCTTCCTTTTTCCAGAGAGCGACCGTACACGAGTGAACGATGATGCCACATCGTGTTGTCACATGCGCTGTGCATGCTGTGTTCTGCAAGAAACGGTGATTTCCGATGATAGATACAGTTGTCCGAAAAGCGCAGGTTCAGATGACGTGCCCATCGGCCGGAAGACAGTATCAGGCAGCACAAGCTGGCAACTCCTCGAGAGCATGGCGTCGAATCGTACGCAAGGCCGACATCTACCTGAACCCAAGCACGGCCACATCGAGCGGCCAGGGTCTGAGCAGGTACCAATTAGCAGGTTGCTTGCTTAAGCAGGGCCTCACATGGCCGAAGGCACCAGAAGCCCCAAGCTTTGATGCCTGAAGGCGTGGAGGTGAGCTGCCGTGCCAACCTGAACTTGGGCCTTTCGGCTGCTCGGCTGTGTCAACTTCGCGGAGGTTGGACTCTAGCAGAAGCATGTAGAAGGTTTGCACTCGCGGTTTGTCTCATTGTAAATACGTGCCAGTTGCAGTATCCACCCGGAAAGCAGGACGAATGTCCCAAGCTGGTGTTTTTCCTCACAGTTTGCAGCTGCTCATCATATTGATCCTGGCACGCCGGCCACCTCTCTTCCATGTACGATTCCTCTGAAGGCTTCACCGTGCGAACTTGGTTGGAGTGTCCTTGTGGGGATACTAGTAACACACGACCCCACATCATGTACTAACACGAAGCCACACCAGAGCAGAGGTTTTTCCAGCACTGCTGGCATGCCGAGCAAATATCTCAGAGCGGAAAGTCAACAAAGCTCCGACACGAGCTCCTTTTTAGTCCATTATGCCGACAGCGCATGTTATCAGACCCTAAACCGAAACCCCCTAGACCCCAGACCGGCGGGTGCCGCACACAACTGGAGCTCTCACACCATCTCAGGAGCCCTATCCATGCCCGTGCTCGGTGCCCGAAGGCACCTTCTTGGGCTTCGGGTGCCTCTGGCGGCAAGTCTCCATCCATGTTTCGGTCCTTGTGACGAGCTGAGGCGTTCTGGCAAAGAGCCGTCGCTGAGCGAGACCCTGGGTTTGAGAAACGAGAAGGCCAGGGCTTCCGGTACATGCAAATGGGACATCCTAAAGCCCCACCAACCCCATGTCGGTGCGACAATGTTGCTGCGAGCGCGGCAAAAGCAATCTCCAGCACCGGGATGAGGTGTGCCGGTGTGCCTGCTGGCAACAATGCAGCCGAAGCTGACAACGGCCCGTTCGAAGCCCGTCAAGCTTGATAGGAGGAAGTAAGTGCGATGCGTAGACTTCGGACGCAAGATGGAGAAGCAGGAAGCCCTTGGATTCGAGACCCTGCGCCGTCATCAAAGGATTGGACTGTCGATGGCGAAGTGTGACTGAGAGTTCCTCTCTCCGCTTCCCTTCGAAGCCTCCATGTGCCCAACTCATCGCCACAATCGCGTTGACGCCGTGACTCACACCTTTGAGCACGTGCTTGCTGTCGGACATGACACGGCAAGTACGAAGATGGGACACTGTTGCTGCTTGAAGTGCTGATCTTGGATTGCTGAGCGCGTTGTTGACCGTAGCAGCTCTTCAGCGGTGCCGCAAGCTTCGGTGTCTGCCACTTTGGCCATTCGTCTCAACATCGTCGTTCATCTTCGTACAATTCTCTTCGCAGCAATGCTTTCAGGACATCCTTTGGCGAGAGCTGTTGAAGCTGTTCTGGAGCCTCTGACCGAAGATAGTGAGAGCTGTGTACTTGCTCGCCGTAGTCGTGGTGCAGTGACTCCACGCATTCCCAGGGTCTCAGTCTAAGTTTGGTGCCCAGGAACAACACCAAGTACGGAGGAAACGGGAGCTCGATTCGGGTTCCCCAGCCCGGGCCAGCCTTGGCGGCAGCTTTATGGCTGGAGGACTGCCAGACTCTTGCGTTGTTGCAATACAGGAGGAACGAATCTGGTAGTGTGGGTTAGCACAGACTGGCAAACAGCTGTGGAATTGCACAAAGCTCGATAACAGGTAGCCGAGCTCGCATCTCAATTTGCAGCACGCTCTCTAGAGGAAACCGGTGCTCCCACGAGCGAAGTGTCAGCCGCTCTCGCACAGGCGCTCAGCATGCACTGCCAATGCACAGCGCTTGAAGGTTCCCGCGAGCTCTTTGTCATGCCTATTGTCTGTGCAGGCGGAGCACTGGCGCTTGGTGCAGCAAGCCTTGACCTTGGCCGATGGAGAGTTCCGCTTCGCGAGCTGTACAGTAATGACATTGCCTCTGCGACGCAAGTGCGACGCATCTCCGTGTTCTGCTCTGGCAGGGCACCTTGGCAGCGCTGCAGACTCTGGGCGAGAGCCTCGTCGCTGCCTTGCTGGCGGGAGTCCACCCTGGCCAGGCCACGCGCGACTCAGCGCCGCTTCGAAGCGCCATGTGAGCTGAGTGAAGTCTCACGACGAGCGCAGGCCGCTCGGAGCGTGGATGCCTTGCCCATGGTGGCATCCTGGGCCGCACCGTGACTCGGCGGAGCCCAAGCGATCGCTGAATGCCCTATAGATTCAATTCAATTTTTCCCCAAGGAGCGTCATGGAGACCAATGCCTCGCAGGGCAGGCCTGGTTTCCCTCTTTGGGCGCCGTTGGCTTCAGGTCTTGAGAAATTCCGCAGCGCGTCGCTCGTTTCCACTGCTTTATCAGATCTTCGTGTCGGCAGGATGGGAATCGCCTCGGTGCCACTGGACTCCCTCGGGACGCGATATGGCTGAAACAAGGCGGAATGGCAAACGAACCCACACAAACCGTTCGTCCGAGGCGGATCGAGTTGGAGTACCAGGCGTGCTGGCCTCAGTGGCCTCGGTCCTCCAGACTGAACTCGATCGTTGTTCACCAGAACGGGGATATTCTTTCCTATACAGGGCCCACAGGGTAAACTAAAAACAAGAACTCATAGAAGCTGCGGCAATAGGCAGAATTGTTCTGTAGACTCTTTAAAGCCAGCCGAGGTCAGATGAGACTATCTCTGGCACCAGGCTTCCTGGTGCTCTTCCATACAAGGCGGCAGCCTGTGTTCATCACGTAAGCTAGAAGGCTCACTTTGCGTGTTTTTTATGTTGCTTCCGAGTTTGTGTCTGGAATTCGGCTCGATAACTTGACTATCTCGACTGTCCTACCAAGCTCGCGCTGCAGTGCACCGGATCTCCACGATGCATCGAGAAAGCAATCCAGTGAAAACGCTCGGATGCTCTCTCACTCTCACAACTCGGAATGAGAAGGCCATAGAATTGAGGTCACATTGTGGAGTCCACTCAGAGGCGAGGGAAAGTGTGATGCTACTTGCCAACCGTTTGTTTGCCATTGCAAACTTCTCATGTCTGGTGTGGTGTCGGGGTTCAGCACAGTGCACTGAAACAGAGGGTGGTTATCAAAATTATGGTACCTTTTTGGGTCCTTAATTTAGTACGGCACCTAATACTTGGGGTATCCAAAAGGAGACCACAATTTTGACAACCACCCATATGTCGGTGCCGACGCACCGTGGAGCGCATTTCTCCCTCAATCGATCATTGCCAGAGGCGCAGGTCTTTCGTGCACATGACATAGATATCAAGCAAACAACTTCTATAGGAAGAAATGAAGAGGAGCTCCTCAAGAACTCATGCGAATGCCGTCCAACAGCCAAGCTGCTAAGCTTGAGGCTTTGTTCGTTTTGAAAGGCCAGCGAAACTCCGGACCAGAGTCTTCATGGAACTTCCTGAAGCTAGTGCAGCTCGTAGCGAGCTTTGGCAGAAGCCAAAGGCACAGGCACTCTCCCTGCGACCTACAGCAGCTCGCTGCTTGGGACCAACCCCCCTCCTCGCACTGCGACGGAGACAGGCGAGACACGGGCCGCAGCTCGGGAGCGAAGAAGGGAACGAAGGTACGAAGAGGGCACCGACGAAAGGAGTTTTGCTGGTGCACGGGCGAATGCTGGATGAGATGAAGCCATTCCAGCCGAAACCTTTGCCAACGCTTCCGGGTCGGATCTCCGAATCCGAATCGCAGCAGTTCGCCACAAATTGATACAGATACGCTGAAGATATTCGCCCACGCAATAGCCCAATAGCTCTTGAGAGAGAAAGCTGTTGTTCTACGTCTGTGCGCAGCGGCAGGTGCCACTGGGGGCACTCCGATGGAAGAACAAGAGCAGAAGCCTCGGCAGGGCCCTTTCCAGTGTGCTTTGAGGCTACAGCTTCTCGGCCAGGTCACAACCTCTACTCGAAGATGGATCCTTCTGTGCGTGTGCACAGTGACGTGGTGCTACGTCAGCAAGACCCAAACAAGGTTGAACTTTGCACCGCAGAAGTGCCCTCTCAAGCAAGCGCACGAAATGTGATCGATTATTGTGCTGAGGTGCAGCTGCAGCTGCTGGCGGAGAGCTCGCAGACTTCGAGTTCCAACCTGACCAAGCTGCGGTATCACTTTATGGCAGCATGCTCAGACTCCGAACTGAATATGTTAACAGAAGATCTGATCCAGATGTCGCCAGGTTGCTAGCAGTGGTTGCGGTTGTGTTGCTTGTGTTTGTCTGTGGGCGTTGCTGGTGTTTCCAGAGTTGCTGGCGTTGTGTTCCCGTTGATGTTGCTGTTGCTGTTGTTGTTGTCGTCGTTGTCGTTGTCAACATGGAAATGCTTCCCTCCCCCCCCTATGCCCCCCCTCCCCCGCCAGGCACCCTCAGCAAGTCTTATTGAGGTTTAGCATTTCCCACTTACGAGTCTTGTTCAGCAGACCCTCCGCCCCCTCCACCGGGCAAGCCAACAGCATGCAAGGCCGCAGCAAAGCCTCAGCAAGGCCTTAGCAAGGCCTTAGCAAGGCCCTAGCAAGGCCTCAGCGACCCTGTCAGAACCTCCCGCGGCCCGTCAGGGCCGTGGCAGGCTTCTGTGAAGGTTACGCAAACCAAGGTCGAGGCCCTACCGAGCTTCTAATGAGACGCAAACCTTGGCAAGACCTTGGCAAGTACTTGCTAAAGCTTTCCTAGGGGGTTGACAGGGGGAGAGGGGGGGCATTGGGGGGGGGGGGGGGCAAAGCTGTCCATGAGTTGTCGTTGTCGTTGTTGTTGGTGGTGGTGGTGGTGGTGGTGGTGGTGTTGGTGTGGGTGTTGGTGTTGTCGTGGTCGTGGTCGTTGTTGTTGTCGTTGCTAGTGTTGTGTTATTGTATTTTGCTGCTGTTGTTGCTGCTGCTGCTGTTGCTGCTGCTGTTGATGCTGCTGCTCCTGCTGTTGCTGCTGCTGCTGTTGCTGCTCCTGCTGTTGCTGCTGCTGCTGTTGCTGCTGTTGCTGCTGTTGCTGTTGTTGCTGTTGCTGCTGTTGCTGCTGTTCGTGCTGTTGCTGTTCCCGGTGGTGGTGGTGGTGGTGGTGGTGGTGGTGGTGGTGGTGGTGGTGGTGGTGGTGGTGGTGGTGGTGGTGGTGGTGGTGGTGGTGGTGGTGGTGGTGGTGGGTGGTGGTGGTGGTGGTGGTGGTGGTGGTGGTGGTGGTGGTGGTGGTGGTGGTGGTGGTGGTGGTGGTGGTGGTGGTGGTGGTGTTGGTGGTGGTGGTGGTGGTGGTGGTGGTGGTGGTGGTGGTGGTGGTGGTGGTGGTGGTGGTGGTGGTGGTGGTGGTGTTGGTGGTGGTGGTGGTGGTGGTGGTGGTGGTGGTGGTGGTGGTGGTGGGGGCGGCGGTGGCGGTGGTGATGGTCTGCTTCTTGTTCTTGTTGCTGCTTCCGTTGTTGTTGCTGTTGGTTTTGTTGTCGGTGGTGGTGTTGCCGTTGTGACGTCATCATCATCGTCATGATCATCATCATCATCAGCTTATCACCATCGTCATCATCATCATCATCATCATGATCATCGTCATCGTGATTATCATGTGTTCATCGTGGTATATCATGGTCATGACCATCAGCATTGTCACCGATGCCATCACTACTGTCGTACATTGCCGTAATTGCTGTACATGGGGTTTACCGTCTCTGTGCACCCACAGGGCTTTTGGTGTAACTGCTTTCCTTCCGACTTGCAGGTGCCTGAACTGCCACAGCCGAATCGGTGTGAAGCCCTGCGGCCCACGAAGGTGGGATGTCTTAATCAGTGATTCGTTGATCCAAACTTTCAACCCCAAAGTCAGTGATGTTCGGACTCCTGTGATCTCCTGTGGAGGACCGGCTGGAGCTTTGCTGCAATGCCTCCCGCTCATCCATAGGCCGAAGCCCGTCCTGCCGCTTCTGATGCTGCTCCGAGTGTTTTGAGCTTGCTGGAATCTCCACCAGGTTCGTTCGCTGACTTCTCTTGCCTGCGTCCATTCGAATCTTCGCAGGCGTCAGTTGTCTCAACCTCAGCACAGTAATGGCAATTCCCAACGGAAAACGGTTTCACGCGCACAAAGAACGTGTAAGGTCTCTGCCCGACGGCTGGAGGACCGCAGTGGCAATGACCAGGTGGCAGATGGGCGGAGGCTCCAGAGTCAAGCGAAGGTGGGACAGTTGCTCGAGCGATTCTAAGATGACGCGAGTCTTGTCTGGGGGCGGGACATGGCGGGACTGGGATGGTGAATGTCACGACCGCAACGTTATTGTTTTTCTGCAGGAAGCAGCCCTGGTGCAGCTGTTCGGCCGCCGTGTGCCCTTTCAAGCAGGCACGACTGCAGCTTTCCGGCTTAGGGCTTGAAGCTTTCAAGGTTTGCATTTCTCCGCTCATCACACTGAGGCTGAGTAGGTTGCCAATAGCTATTAGTAACTAGTAATAGCATTGGGCAACAAGTGCAAAATGGCATACAAGCACGCGAGAACGACGCTCACGATGCACAGCAATGCTTCCTCCTGCAGTCTGCATCTGTTTGAGGACTCGAGGACCTGCTGGAGGATGTGCGAATTTGGACGGCCTCGACCCAACGGGCTGCATCCTAAGGCGTCCCAGACATCAAGATGAGACGTCCCAGGAGGGTGGGGCTTTGGTACCACGCACCATCTCTGGGCACTCTGAACCAGCAAAGATCCTGTGGAAACTCTGAGATGGGGTCTAGGTCGTGGGCTCAAGGTCGCAGCATGTGCATCAGGCACAAGAAGCTTGTTCCCGTCAGACAGTGCTCTTCTCCCAGTCTTTCCCTGCATTCCCTGCCCTACTCCATCAATCGGAGCTTCGCTCTGATGCCCGAGGTCATGTTGGCAGGCACGCGTCTTCGACTGCAAGGAGGGAACATGAAGGTTGGATGTGCAGAGCTTCCCCGCGCAACCCTTGTGTGCCTCCAGCCCGGGAACACCCTCACCGCAGGTGCAGCGTGCCTGTGACAGCCGAGGCTGGACGAGAGAGCTGCCTGCATCTGGGTGTGTGGGCCTTTAGGCCTCTGGGCAGGAAATGCGGCTGAACGACTCCTCGTACGAGAAGGTCTTCTTTTGCAAGAACCCGATGCAGGCAAAGATGAAAGCTGTTCAATACTTTTTGCATGGTGCCGAAGAGATTCTGCACTCCGCGTTCTCCGGGTCCTGTCGTCCTGTGCTGCTGCTGCTGCTGCTGCTGCTGCTGCTTCTGCCACTACCACTGTTATTTCCACTACTATCACCACTACTACTGTTACTGCTACTGCTACTACTACTACGACGATGACTACTGCCATTGACGTTATTAGCCGTGATTATTACTACTACCGCGACTACTACTACTACTACTACTACTACTACTACTACTACTACTACTACTACTACTACTACTACTACTACTCCTGCTGCTGCTGCTGCTACTACTACTACTACTACTACTACTCCTACTGCGACTGCTACTGCTACTGCCACTGCTACTGCCACTGCCACTGCTACTGCTAGTACTGCTACTACTACTACTACTACTACTACTACTGCTACTACTACTACTACTACTACTGCTACTACTACTACTGCTACTGCTACTCCAACTCCCACTCCTACTGCTACTGCTACGACTACGACTATTTTGCGATCATTATTACTACTACTGTGACCACTGCTACTACTGCTCCTACCAGTCCTACTGTTACTACTACTACTACTACTGCTACTACTACTGCTGCTACTACTACTACTACTACTACTACTACTACTACTACCACCTCCTACTCTTATCCTATTCCTACTCCTAGCCACGCCCCGTACCTTACCAACTACCTGTCGCTTAAACCGTTTAGCAAACGGGGGAACGGTGGGAAGGCAAACACACACGCTAAAAGTCAGCACCCGGGCGGCGAAGCAGTCAACAGTATGCAGGAAAAAACATGTCCTCAGACCTGAGAGTTGCAAAACACCAACGGAACAACAACAACAACAATCATCATCATTCGCTGTGTAACCGCAAGCAAGAATGGCAGCAGAACGCCAGAGATTGTGTCAGCAGCGGTGAACCCAAAGGACAACACACTGCACTGCTGAGGTCTGAAAGTGGTGCTTGAAGACAGGTCTTTCTCAAAACATGCAGATTCGTCTTGCAGAGCTGCAAGTCAACCACACGCGCCTGGCAGTGCAGCTGGGGGAATCACAGCTTAACGGCAGTGCCATGCAGTGCCCCCACGACGCCGTAGAAGCGCCCTGAACAGTGTTTCGGATCGTGGGTTTTGGAAATATCTCCTTGGTCTTTCAGACGGGCTCTTGCCCGTAGGCATCGGCAATCCGGTGCGCCACAACAGAATTAGTCTAAGCGGTCTGGGGTCATGTCGCTGAGCATTCTCCCGGACACATGTGTTAAAAATAGGTAGCAGCAACATAACCTTTGTTAGATTTGCTCCAATCCTTGAGAAGACTGGCTTGTGCTGTCCTTGAAGTGTGTGCTGGAGTAGATCGACCCCACATACATGCCATACTGGGCAGAGGACTGGCTGCCATCATGCCATCATTGTAGAGATTCCGTTCTTTTTGTTTGTCATGCCTGTGTCTTGCTGGTATCAGGGGCTTTCGCCCCACTCAGGTTCGCCCCACCTTATGAGGCCTGCAACAGACAAGAACAGTTCTTGTCATCCGTCTTTTGTCTTTTCTTCTGCTCCTTCCTGTTCTTGTCATGTTTGGCTGATCTTGCGTGCTGCTGTTGTTATTGTCGCTGTGAGTATCCTGCTGCCTGCCGCCTGCGATCGTGGCAGGCTGGTCAACAGACGCATGGTGCCGGACGGTGTTTGACCGTGCGCGGCTGCTACAGTCATCTGCCAGGGCCGTGGACGCCATGCACATGCACTGTATGAATTTGTGGGAGTTGCGGTAACAGACGACATGTGCACAGCCTTGCGCTCGGTGTCCATGTGTGATCCTCTACAAGCGAGCGCATCCGATTTCTATCGTCTGCGCACGTCAGCAGCCGTTGGACTCGTCAATCCGACTCCTCACTCCTCAACTCAACACAAGCCGTGGCAGTTCGGATACAAAACTGGACTATTGTGAAGAAGCCTCGCTCTCGTAGTGAAGGTTTACGCCATCCCGAGCCCCGATCGCGAAGCCGAAAGAGCTGCTCCTTTTTTGCTCCAGGTGCCGAGCTGGCAGACCTTTGCAGATGCACTGCTCCAGGCAGCAGAGGAGGCGCCGTATTGCCTTGGTCTGCAGAACTTCGCTTCCGATTCCGAACCAACGGGGTTGTTTGGACGGGGCCTTGGCGAATCTTGTATGGTCTAAGAGTCTAAGGCTTAGTCTAGTGGAGTTCTGATGTAGATCACGGAGCTTCTGTCATGGTCGCCTTTGGATTTTGCGTTAGGAAGTTGCAGGTGCTTTCAGGGTTGACATGTCCGTTAGATGGCTCGACCTGGCACGCGGAGAGATGCTAGGTGGAGGCGGATCCGTCCCTGGTGCCGACCTCCAGCACTGTCACCACAAGCACGTCCAGACCTCAGACTGTACAGCTGAAGAGCAGCAGCCCACTGCCCGAGTTCTAAGGACAACATCCACAACATTATCCACACTCACCGGGACCACCTCCACCTACACTGGAACCCAAACTAGCAACACCACCACGACCGCGACGAGCAGCGCCTTGGCAGTCTGGGGAAAGTCCTTCAGAGCCTTAGCCTTGGTGTCAGAAGTCAGAACTCTGAGGCACCAGTAGCTACTCCTCCACCGCATCCTTTACATCATCAACACACACGTCATCGACCAGAGCTTTGTCTGCAGTGCTCTGTGCCTGTGCTTCGTTGAATCTGTCTGCGGCTGGTAGGCCAAGCTTCGGCATTGTCCCAATGTTCAATACCTGAGATCTGTAGGCACGATGAGTCGGACCTCGACCCGAAGTCTTACCACAACGACAAGCCTCACATTGAGTACCACAAGCAGCACAGACTCCACCACAACCCAGGCCGACATGCAATTGAAACATGCTGCCAGGAAGGCTGGTGTGCAGTTTGACAGGGCGAGCTTGACCCACAAGCCATAATCTGGGTTGATTTGGGTTCGCTGGGTTCCCAAGGTCGCATAAAGCTCAGGCCTTGGAAGGGCGAGTTAGATACGATAGAGCTTTTGTGCGTGGATGGCTTGCTGTCCAGAACATCACCACGTCTTCCACGACCTCCGCTACCACGACAGAGATACCCTGGTGCTCACGTGGAGACCAAGCTCAGATTGACACCTGGTGCCCAAGCGGGGTGACGCTGGAGACTGAGCTGCCAGTCTACGCTGATGCTGAGCTTGCGACTGGGTTTCCGTGAAGGAACTAACTTGAGACATGTCCGATAGCGGTCTATAGTTAGTAAATGATGAACCTGGCTTTCCTTACCACTAGTATAGCAACCTCAGGCAGACGAGCAGGGCGTTCTGCTTTTCGGCGTGTTTGGGGTGCAGCTGTCCATGCAGGGGAGCTCTGCTTTGACAGTGGGACTGCCACCTCCTGGCCAGCTGACCCTTTTGAGTACGGAGCTTCTTGGACGAATCTCTACAACCTCTGCAATAAGTGGGTTTGTTCGTATCCCCTTAAAGGGGTGTGAAGAAATGTCGATGTTGAGGCGGAGCCTCGTGTTCCTACATGCCATGGCTCTGATCTACACAAGTTGGATTGACTCTTGGGTGGAGGCACACGAGCTTTCTAACGCAAGCTATGTTTTGAGACATTGGGCGCCGGAGCCATCGACCTTGACGACCAGCAGCACGACGTTTACTGGCACCTCCTCCACGGCCACCACGAGCACAACCACCAGGCCGGTGGTGGCTTTCCCTCAGCCGCAGCCCGCTTCGGCCTCCGGGGCCGTCCTGTCGACCTTGGAAGTCGTCTTCTCGGATCCTCTGGAGCTCCTGACTCGAGCCTTGCAAATGGATCTGGAGAACAACGACGGCCTTCCAAGGCTCACCGACAGCTCCAGCTCTGGATCTTTGGCGATCCGTGGGATGGCCACCTCCTCACTGCTGCACAGCTGGTGTGAGGCGGAGCTTATGCTTCTGAATCCTTCTGGCCTCTCCCCGCGTCTCTCTGTGTCTCTCTCGCTCTCTCGCTCGTCTGCTTTCTCTTCGCACAGGTGCCTGCGCTTGCTCCTACCCAGCGCCTGGCTGACGTGCTGGCTGCTCTCGAGCCCATCGTGCTGAACTTGAATGATACCACAGGCCTCAGACCGCTTCACACGGTGCTGGCTGCCTTGGAGGAGGGCCTCCCATCAGAGTGGGATGCCAACTACTGGAGCAATGCACCCGGCGGACCAGGTTGGGAACCACCACTTCCCACTGCCACCTCCACGACTTGGACCAGCACATCGACCATCGACATGGAGTCTGTACTCTGCGACTTGCCCTGAAAACTAGTTCGTGCTGCATATCACATCAGGTCCACAGACTCGATGCTCGCGTTGCAACATGTTCGTACTAAGAGTCGGCACAATGAGTATGATTATTCAGAATCCACGCGTGTCATTATTCGCCACACTACCTCCGGCTGTGCGGTCGCGTGATTTTTAATCGCTAATGGGTTTCGTGGTGCAGTCACAGCATTCTCTCTGCATAGAATTATTTCCTGAACGGGTGCTGTTGTATTTAAGTTAAGCACGTTTCTGACTGATCGTCTCGTCTCCGTTCTACTCTGTCAGGTCCGGACGTAGAGTGCCTGCCGCCTGATGACTGCGGAAACCTGGCTTGGTTCTTGCTTAAGTCATGTGGTGCTCCTCTGTTGTCCCATGCCCCATCACGGGAAGCTTGATAGCAGTAGCTGTTGCAATCCGTAGGGCCATTCAATGGCATCGCTTCACGTCTTCTCGCGAGACGCCAGATCAGAAGACCTGGTTGGTGCTTGTTACTGATAACGAGCTTCGTCGATGCTTTCCCTATTTTGGTGACTTGAGTCGGGGATCGAATAGCAAAGAGAGCAAAGAACTATGCCCTTCTCAGGCCTGGATCCTCTGATGGACTTGGAGTGTGTCGCCTGGTCGGCGCCCTTGCGGCGCTTTGTGCCGGCCTTGGGCTGTGAACTCGTGGCCCAGCCAGGCGCGCGGAAGTCTGTAAAGATGGCAGCGCCTGATTTCGTTTGAAGACAGGGATACTTATGGTGAGGCTTCTGACTCTTCTCTATAGGTTCTACAATGTTCTACATGAGGCGTATTTTCTGAAAGCTCAGCTTGCAGCGATTCTGCATCCTGCAGATCGGAACGCACAACACCGTCGGAGGCCGTCAGTGGCCCATTGTCCAGCAAGGTAGCTTGGAGGTCGTTTGCGAGGCATGGCTGCAGCCAGAACAGCATTTTTGGAGAAGGCATGGCACGCAAGGAGGCACCATTTCACCACAAACAGCGTTGGTAACAGATCTTTACCCGGTCGATTTCCTTTCGTTAGATTGCTAGATCGACGGAAGCTTGACATCTCGTTTAATCACATCACCAGGTGTTGCACTGATTCACATGTACGCTGTTGTCCATGCTAATGATGCTAACGCTGACTATAGCGGCGATGGCCTGTAGGCTAGAGACTTGAGACCTTGCCCAAAACGCCCAGCAGACATGTTTTGACATGTTTTCTTTGGTAAATTTTCTGGGGTGGCTCAGGGGGCCATGCATCCAGAAATCTCCCAAAGGTGTAAATCGCGCTGCAGATGCATATCTCCAAGCCTTTCTCGAGTCTGCTGTCTTTTTTAGAGGTTTGCTGGTCATTATGGTGTTCGCGCCGTGGCACTTACACGGCTGACGATTTTTCATAGCGTTGCTATGTGCTGCTAGAATGCCGAGGAATGCGAAGCTTGGGCGCTGCACCCTGCTATGGCCGTGGCTTCCAAGCTGACGCACGGCCCAAATTGCGCACATGAGCGCAGAATTCGAACGCTCCTGTCACGCTCGGAAGACCCTTATGGGATCCATTGTTTCTGGGGCACAGGTGCAGAACTCGCCAACTGCAGAACCCCAAGCTCCAAACCCAGGCAGAGCGTGAACTCGATGACGCTTTAGACAGAGCTGCTGCTGCTGCTGCTGCTGCCGCTGCTTCTGCTGCTGTTGGTGCTGGTCCGGGTTTGCGGCGGATTTATGCAGCACGGTTCCTGCAATCAGGTGCAGGCCCTCGGAGGGATGTCGTGAATCTTTCGTACACTGCCGCCTCCCAGGCCAGCCTTGACGCCTTTCCCGCCGCAAGTACAGATTCAGACGCGGGAAGTTGCCGTTTTCTGGTTGGACAAGGCCGAGCGAGGGGAAGACTGCAAACAAATGACCCATCTAGCCCACCTGTCCCACCCTTGCATGCAGAGTGTAGAATCTTTCGACTTCGAGGTTTGATGTTCATGTGCCCCCGCCCCCCAAATAACGTGTTGCCCGTGACCGGGCTTGACTTAGAAGGGCTTTGGGGGTTCCAGAGGGAATTGCGGGTGGCTTGGGGTCTGGGTGGGTTTGACTAACTCAGAAAGGTTGTGGGTGTCCTGCGGGTTTGGGGGTGGCTTGGGGTGCCTGCTGGTGGGGACTGTAGAGGGAGATGAGCTCCTGAGGAGGGTGGCGGTTGCGCTGGGAGAGAGCTAAGGATGTGCAGTTGGTGAGTGGTAGTACAATGGTGGTACAATAGTAGTACAGCATCAAAGCAGTACGGTAGTACAGTAGTTTCAATTCAATATAGCAGTACAGTATCGTACAGCAAAAAATTTGGAGATACCTGGAGCTGTTAAGCGGTGGGTTTCAGTAAATTGTGACGGGTAGTCGTGCATGATGCAGGAAAACGGGTGTTTTGTCTTGGTAGTTATCGTGGAGTGACCGGGGTTTGATTTCGAGGTTTTGCCAAAAACTTGACACCAAACCCCGATCACTTCCTAATTGAGTAGTAAACCCCCAACCCCCGAACCCTTTAGGGTAATCTTAAAGGAATCCTAAACCCTAACCCCCCTACCTCAAACCCTGTTTGACTGCTAACTGTACTGCTGCTGTACTACTGTACTGTTACTGTACTGCCGCTGTACTACTACTGCAGTACTACTGGTCTGTTACGGTACTACTACAGTACTACTACTGTAATTAATTATTGCTGCACCAGACCTCAGACTTGGGCGATTGTGGAGGGCAGTGTAGGTTGAAGCAAAAAGCCTTCAACATGGATGGCTTTTAGTCGGGGTAGTGCTCTTGACCATTAGCAGAAAGGGCCGTAGCAATCTCCGGCCCAAAAAACGCATAGATTACTAAACGCATCATAGAGGCTCTTGACGCAAGAGTTGCACTGAACGGTCTTCCGTCTCTGATCCAGGCTCGACTCTCGCCGCCTTTGTATGCTGATCGTACCGTATGTTGCAATGGCTCCCCAGGCCCACAGCTACAACTTGCGCGGCCTCTTCATTCCTCCGGTGCTGCTGCTCGTGGCGGCACTTCACCTTCTCCTGGCCATCTACGCTGAGGCAGGCCTTGGCCCAGAGGAGGGATGAAGGATGCGGGCCATGAAGTGCCATTGGTGTCTTTTTGTGCCCCGTGCCCTTTCAGGTCCGTTGGCGCTCACAAGCGCGGTGGGTGGCGATGCGCACCATGCGAGCAAAGGGCGTGCAGGTTGAGGTGCAACAGCTCGATGCTGAGGAGAAGGCAGGCTCATGAGATCTTTTGGGGTTTTTGTCGTAGCAGGTGGACTGCATCGTTAGCCTCGCATGCAGAGCCTCAAGGCCTCCACTCGGACTCCGCCTCGTTACCTACTCGCCCTCGCACAGGATTTCATCCGACGCCGTGCCGCGGAGATCCGAGCCACAGGCCGGAGCTCAGAACAGCGAGCGTGGAGAGGGGAGAACGATTGAAGCGGTGTGTCGCTCGCAGGCGAGTTCAGCGCCGCCATCTGCGCCGCCGAGGCGCAGGAGATCGTGCGACGGGCGGAAGGCCTCTCGGCCTCTTCCGGTTCCGTACGGGGATCCCGGTACCAACAACACCATGGCGCGGCTCAGGCCTGCCACATGCGTCCACCTCGGCAGCAGCACGGCTCGACATCCGACAGGCAGGGATCATCTTTGAACAACATTTCGCAGAAGGCTTTGTGCATCCGGGCTTTCCAGAAAGGCCAAGGATGGCCTGGCCACGCTCTTCCAGGCGCATGGCCTGGGAGACGTTGAAGACGACGAGGTTCGAAGGCCACCACCTCTGGCTCTGATGGGCCCAGGCCAGGCCATAGCCGAGAGCTTCGAGTTGTGAGACCGTATGACTTCTCAAAGCGGCATCGCCATGCAGGCGGCCTACAGCCGCCAGGCACGACCGTGGTGACTTCCTCCTTGTCCAAAGCCACACCGTCATTGCTCACACCAAGCGCCCGGATGCCGAGTGCCACAGGCGCCGGGCCTGGGCAGGTCACAACGACGACGCGACTCCTGGGGTCACGGGACGTGTCTGCCTAGGATCGCCCATGCAAGCGCTCTCGCTCCGTGATGCCTCGCTACGAGATGCTGCTCAAGAGGCTGGGCCCAGGCTGAGTCGCAACATTCGCAACGATCCGCATGGCCGGCACGTGGATCTTCCAAGGTGGGATTCCGCCCGGAGGAGGCAATGATCTCCTCTAAGCCACCGACAAAGCCAAGGCCCTGGGCCCTCGCTTCGCTTTGAGGTTCGCGGCAGCTGAAGCTTGCCAGGCGGGGGCTCCGTGGCATGATCGTCGACGGGGTTTGGAGGTGCAGGCGAAAGCACATCTGGCGAGCCTGCCTCACACACCACAAGCCTCTGGGAACGATTTGGGCACATGTTTTGTCCTTGTTGAAGACCCTTCTGTAAAGCTGCGAGCCTCCATCCAAACCATCTTCCAAACCAGGATTTTCTTTCTGTCTGACGACTCACAGACCTTTATCTTCAGTGCACCAGAGCGAGCTGCGATGTTGCATGCGAGCCTTTGGATCAATGCGGTGTGGCTGTCTGTGGTGCTGGGCGCCTAAGCCTGAAGAGTTCAGAAGCGATTCAATAACCGGGCGGCAGCATGCGGCAGCGTTCTGATGTCGCTCGATGTGCGCAGCAGGTGGCTTCGAGCACCGTCGACCTTTTCAGGAGCCCGCTTGCCTAAGGGATGCTGATGAGCAACTCGGCGATGAAAGACACATGGGCTTGAGTCGAATTTCCATGGCTGGACTTTCAATCACGGTGTTCCAAAATGTTATATGATGGACTCAACTCCACATGCTCAGGTTTCGCCTTGCAGAGGTTGGATGCTTGTTTGAGTCTGCCTCCGTGGGCTTGGCGGTGCTAGCAGCAGCGCTCACTCCTCCTGTGGCCGGAGCTCTGCAAACATTCTGCCGGGGTCGGAGTTTCGTCGTGAGAGCGAAGGAGCCTGTGGCACTGTGTTGCGGACGTAGTTGAGCTTTCATGCTGCTGGCAGCAGGACCTCTCGGTCGAAGATCGTGACAGAGCCTTCACGCGCCACTTTCTAGGTCCATGGCCATCTGTACTGATGGCGCCAGCAGAAGCCAAGGCCGCGACAGCCAGAACTCACGTTCAGCCAAGCTGCAAGCCTTCCTGTTGAGGTGCGTCTGTGGAATGTCTTCTGCAACATCTGCCGCTTTTGCTGCCCCCGCGGGTGCCCCCGGCCACGGCGGCGGAAGCTGCTGCCACTACACTGGTGGCCGTCCCTGGTGCTCCCCAGCCTGGCGCCACACAGAACAAGGGCCTTTTTGGCTTCTGTAATGTCTAATTGTCTGTGTCGCGTTAACCGGAGAGGATAAGACCACTCGATCTACCGTAGCTAGAGACAAGGCCTTCTAAACGCGGCCCAAGATTTTAATCTGAGGTGCTGCTTATTTGCCTCGTGGCGTGGAGACTGTGCTTCTACATGTTCCATTTCTCCACCTCGATATACATGCAGCTTGCATCGTCTTTGGGTTTTGTCTGTGCTGGTCTGCTAGTCGTCTGACCTGCCGAGCTTTGTGATAGAGCTATGAGCGGTGGGGCTCTCCAGGTGGGAAACCACTCAGACGGATCAGCCTGGGCGCGTTGAGATCCAGCTCCCTCCAGATGAGCAGGCGGAGGCCTCTGCAGCCGGTGCCGATGAGACTTGGCAACTACGCCTGGTCCTAGTGTCGCTTGGCACAGTCCAGAGTGCATGCGCTTGCTAGCAGCATGACACAGGAGAACCTCTTGCCCCATAGATGTTCATGAGGCCAGAGATGCAGCGCTACATCGTACTGCTGGCGATTAGTTGGTTCTTGAACCTGTTGCTGTTCGAGCCGCTTATGCTGATCCTGCACTTGTTTGTGGGAGAGCCCTCTGTGGATGAACCTCGGGCCAAGATGTCATCAGAAGCCCAAACTCGTCGTGTTGTACAGTAGGGCTTGCGTACTGCGCACTATGTCTCGTGCTTGTTGAATTCACTGTGCTTGCAAGGAATGCTTGCGGCCTGTGCTGCCGATTATACTGCTAGTGCCACGGGCAATGAGTGTCTGTTGCAGCTCCTCAGCATGGCATTATGCAAGGCTGTGCGAAGATGTGTGGATGCGCCGTGTTGCAGCTCTCATTGCGAGGTGTGCTTGGGAAATGTCTTGATCGACTGGGCTCGTGCCTGCAACGCTTCTGGCCAGAGAGATTGGTCCTGAAGGCCATCCACCAGACCCCAGAGATGTGCACCATTGACTGTACACGACTGGCCCGAAGCGAACGCAGGTGAGAAGCCTCTGTGGGCCTTGCAGCAGCTGCAAGCGCTGGTGCCGCTTCCGAAGCTGCCGATGGTGCCGCTGCAAGCGGACCGAAGTGGCGTCTTGATTTTGAGTAACCCCTTCCCCCGTTCATTAAACACCCCGTAACACCCACCTGATACTGAAAACACTTTGCGGCCAATCCTCCCGAAACCATCCCTGCAGCTTTAAAATCTAATTTGCCTTACGGGGTCCGGAGCGAGAGCAGGAGCACGAGCAAGAGCACGAGCAAAAGCAGGAGTAAGGGCAAGAGCGCAAAAGCAAGAGTAAGAGCAAAAGCAAGAGCAAGTGCAAGCGCAGGAGCGAGAGCAGGATCCCTCGAAAGTGACAGTAGGGATAAGCATGCACCCTACTTAAAACACTTTCCGAGTTTTTGGGGAAGGGATTATCATGGCGGATTACCTCCTCGGCCAATCTGATGCTCATCATAGGAGCCAATCTCACCGCCGGACTTGACAGAGACGATCGAGTCCGAGGACGAAGACGAGGCCAGGACTCTGACCCATACTGCAGAAACCGGGCGCGATGTCCGCAGTGTGAAGGTGTTGCATTGAGGCAAGTCATCCCGTGCCTGCACGGCAGCGACAGACACAGACACCTGCAAACAGACGGAGAGCCGGACGGAGGCAAGCAGGCAGACAGACAGACAGCCACATGCATCATGCTCCCGTCACTCCCTCCTCCATCTCCCTTTTCCTGCTCCTCCTCCTACACGTGCACCTGCAGGCCTCAAAGAAGGACAAGAAAGGCAAGAAGAACAAAAAGGCGGAGCGCGCCGAGAAAGGGAAGAAAGAAAGCAAGGCGGGCTGCTCACCTGCATGCCACATGACCCGCCTGGATCTCTGATCTTGACTGGTGTTAGCAACAATTGGCACTGCTGGAGAACGATTGCCAAATGTGAGGCGGAGAGTCCACTTCTAGGGGGTTGCTTTCTTGCCAATGCATCCAGGCAGAGACAACATAGAGGAGGCATGTGTTCGTCTCCGTCTCTGAGGAAGGTTGTTGTTAGGGATTTATTTCAGGGATTGTCCTCATTCTCGAAACTGCTCAACAATCGCGGAGTGTCTTTATCTTTGGAAGACTGACATTCAAGACATCCGCTCCACTGCAGCTTCTGATGCTTCAGGGTTTGAGGAGTCCGCTCAGAGCAGGTCTCACCCTAGTTTCACTTCCAGCCTCATGTTGGATGGGACCTCACTTCCCTACAGTACTGAAGTTTGAGAAGCTACATCGCAAGCTGCTCACGGTTCACCATCCCAGTCGATCTTACTAACTGGCAGTACTAGAGAGATTCCCACCTTGGCCTGATGCTGCAGGGTGGTTCAGGCTGAAGGCCCGACTGCCGGTAAACGAGCCTCGGGCCCAGGCCAAGTGCCTCGTGCCCATGCGAATTAAGCGTCATTAGAGCTAGGACAGCTACAGGGCCAGGATTTAGGGCCTTCTCAGCATCGCGCCCACCTACCAGAGCTCCCCGTCCATGGCAAGCCTGGAAGAGAACCCCAAGCAACCCGAACCGACCCGAACCCTCTCCCGTTGAAAGAGCGCGGACCGGAGCAGAAACAAGTGTGCCTGGCCTGTCAGACGGGTCTCAAAGATGTTCGGTTCTGTGAGGAATATTCCATCTGCCAGAGTTGTGCCCCCTAGCAGCTGAGAGCCGCTGGCCGTGTGGCTCGAAAGGGGCCGGCAGGCACGGCCTGAACAGGTCATGTGCTCCCATACTGTCCATTTACCCCAGCACCCTGCGCTAACAAACCCATAATCACATAGAAGTATCGCCGCATATCTTGGAGTTTCGACCTTTAGACCTCTGGGCAGCTTTGCTTGCACTGGACTGGCTGCTCGAACAAGCTTTTCCTGCAATGCGAGACTAGATCTCTGCCACGGAACCCAAGTTCAGCCACAGATGGTACATGCCGTCAGTAAACTGTAGGTATGCTCAAAGCGTGCAGCGGCTGCATCAGTCATGAAGTGGCTGAGGTCGCGAGCCATGGACGATCCGCGCCTAAAATGGAGCCGTGGGTTGAGGCTACCTTGCACGATTCTCCACTTAGGGCCGAGCAGGGATCTGTGCAGTCATCAATGGTACGAGTAGACTTGATGGAGCAGGTCATAGTGAACTGGCAGTAGTGGATGCAAGTGGACATGTAGGGGTATGCTCGTGATCAACATCAAAATGTTCCAAAGTACTCGCAGCAGCGGAGCATAAGCATGCGCGACTCCGGCAGGACCCATGTTGTTATGATTCTGGGCTTTTCTCTGCTTGTCTAGACCGCAACAGCACGACCATTAAGTAGTATTGTTCGATAGGATTCCTTTAGGTTAGGTGGTGTTCGAAACAAGTATCTATGCGGTTTAAATACGATACGGGGCTATAGGAATCTGCTAAGCAACCGCTACTTAGCTACCGAACCTGACCGAACCTACTCCAAGACGAAAACCTTGAGGAGTGAATACTCAAGACTAAAACCGTAATCAAGGAGTGAATACTCGAGGCGAAAGCCTTCAGCAATGAATCCAGCCGGAACCTTTTCAGACTAAGAAGTGAATCCAGCAGAAAGCTAAAACCCAAGACCAAAACCCTAAGGAGTGAATACCCAAAACGAACACCCTAAGGACTGAATTCCCAAGACGTAAAACAGGGTTGAGCTGTAAGGTTTTTTAGGGGAAGTGGTGAAACCGTTTTCGTGTGAGCTGATTAACTGCATTTGCTAAAACAGCTTGCCTCCACCTGCCGGTCGTTTATCTTTTTTGCTAAAACAGCTTGGGTCCACCTGCCGGTCGTTTATCTTTTTGTTTCAGCCGTTCCATTAAGTGAGGGAGGCTGGGGGCCCCAGTCCTCCTCACTTAACGGGACGGTCGTAAAGGGCAGGATCCATACATAGGGAGGGGGAGGGGGGGGGCAGGGCGGCACGTAAATCCTCACTTGGGTATTAAAACCTTAGGGCCCCAATAGCCCACATATCTCAACAACCCTTACTACCAACAGCCCGCCGGTTGTAATTAATGCTTGTACCCCCAAACTCAGAGCCTAAAATAAATAACACAGAAGATGAAAACCATTAACCTTCAAGCCCTACAGCAATACCCCTAAACTCAAGCTTGCCGGTCGAGAAGATCATCCTGACGCCATGGGCCGGATGCCCCAGTATGGGGTTTGGGGTTTAAGTTAGGCTAGTGGTTCAGGGTGTTTTAGTGTGGTCGGTCGAGTGATTTTTTGCGTTGTTTGGATCGGGTGTGGGTTAAAGGATGTGGTTTCGGATTTGCTGGTAAGGTTGGAGTTTGCATTTGCTTCGGATTATTTAGGATTGGGTTTTTTAGGTCGGTCGGCACCCTGAACCCTAAGGCCCTAAGCCCTAAGTCCTCAAACCCCCCTCGTCGGTCACGTTCGTGATGCAGCAGCTGGCCGGTCGACTTCGGTCCCGGTGCTGCTGTTGCTGAGTTGAGCTTGCCGGTCGACTTCGGTCCCGGTGCACTCCTGGGCTTGCCGGTCGACTTCGGTCCCGGTACTCAGGCATGGCACAGAGCTCGCTGTGTGACTCCGGTCCGCAGTGCTTTGTGCCACATCGCTTGCCGGTCGACTTCGGTCCCGGTGCACTCCTGAGCTCGCCGGTCGACTTCGGTCCCGGTACTCAGGCATGGCACAGAGCTCGCTGTGTGACTCCGATCCGCAGTGCTTTGTGCCACATCGCTTGCCGGTCGACTTCGGTCCCGGTGCACTCCTGAGCTCGCCGGTCGACTTCGGTCCCGGCGCTCAGGCACGACACAGGGCTAGCTGCGGGACCCCGGTCCACGGCGCCCTGTGTCACATCGCTTGCCGGTCGACTTCGGTCCCGGTGCACTCCTGAGCTCGCCGGTCGACTTCGGTCCCGGCGCTCAGGCACGACACAGGGCTAGCTGCGGGCCCCCGGTCCACGGCGCCCTGTGTCACATCGCTTGCCGGTCGACTTCGGTCCCGGTGCACTCCTGAGCTCGCCGGTCGACTTAGGTCCCGGCACTCAGGCAGGACACAGGGCTAGCTGTGGGACCCGGGTCCATGGCGCCCTGTGTCACATCGCTTGCCGGTCGACTTCGGTCCCGGTGTGTTTGTGCAGGGCCTGCAGGACGCGGATTTTTGCCGGTCGACTTCACGTCTGCAAACCACCGCCTGAGGCCTGACCTATGGTTGGTCACGTGTCTTGTCGGTCGCGACGAGGGTGGCTTGCTGGACCCTCAGTTGCAATGTGCAGCCGCAAGACAGAAAGCTCTGCTCGCCCAGGCCACCATCAATCGAGCACGGTTTGTCTGTGTGGCTCTGAGATTTTGGAGGCAGCCGGTCAGTCGAGCCGATGATGCACAGACAGACACAGGCCCATTTTGTCGTCTTCTGCCTGCCGGTCCAAGCTTGGCCCTGAGGTCATAGGTTGTCCCTTCTTCACATTCCAGATACCAGATGTAAGCTCGTGCAGGGCTCCTTGCTGGAGGAGGACATTGACTGCTGGGGGCTGAGGTTTCGAGTCACCCAGTTGTGTGACTCCTGACCTCTCTTAGTCTTGCAGGCGCTTCTCATCGCCTAGCCGGTCGCCAGCTGGGGTTTGAGGTGGTACGTTGTCCCTGCAGCTCCAGACTCCAGATGTAACGTAAGCTTACGCAGGCTTGCTTGATGGTCGATGGCATTATCAGTGCTGGGGGCTGAGGTTTTTTTAGTCAGCAATGTTTTCTGACCTACGATGCTGATGCAGGCTCGTCTGGTCGCGTTGCCGGTCGATGCTGGGGCCTAAGGTAATAGGTTGGCCGGTGAGTTCCAGATGTAAGCTTGGGCAGGCCTTCGCCGGTCCGGGAGGTGAGCTGGGGGCTGAGCTTTGGAGTCATGATTATTATATCTCGTGCATATTCTCGCCCAGGTTCCTGTGATTTTTCTGGCCGAGTTGCCGGTCGGTGCAGGAGCTGAGCACAAAGATGCTTTCAAGTTTGTGCTTGATTGTCGGCTTTATGTCCTTCAGGTGCTGGAGGGAGCATCTCGCATCTCGTGATGCGCCGGTCGTCGACAACGTACCGGCTGAGGACTCTGTGCTTTGCAAGTGAAGTGCTCCACAGCTTTACTCGCAATTGCCGGTCACCAGCCACTTCTGTCAAGTGTGCTGAACACATGGTTGGCAGCCAGGCGACATGAACATAACGTCGGTCAGCATTGAAGTGTGTGTTGTGTTTCACATTGTAATAAGTAGTGCCCTCCATTCACGTGTTGGTCGCCATGGCAGATGCCGATGATGAGGATAGGAAGAAGGACAAGAAGGGCGACGACAAGGCCAGGGACAGGAAGACGGTCGGCAGGCACAAGAAGGACAAGAAGGGTGACAAGGAGGCCAAGGACGAGAAGCCGGTCGCAAAAAAATCCAGGAAACAGGTCAGGGAGGAGAAGAAGAAGAAGAGATCAGCCGAGGCGGTCGCAGAGCTCCTGACTGAGGTGTCTGAGGAGGGCGATACCGAGTCGGTCGGCAAGGCGGATGTTGAGCCGGCTGAGCCTGCAAGTGGCAGTGCTGCTGATCAGCCGGTCGCTGAGCCTGCAAGTGGCAGTGCTGATCAGCCGGTCAAAAAGAAAGGCAGCAAGTTCCAGACGCCTGACCCCAATGTCGCTTGGCTAAACTAGCTTGTCGGTCGATTCCAGCTGACTGACAGACTGTGTCGTGTCTGTGCAACTAAGAGCCGGTCCCAGCAGAAGAAGCGGACCTTCATGGAGTTTTGCTTCGAGAAGAAGAATAACAGGAAAACCACGAAGCCGGTCGATGATTGCGAGGCTTGGCTTGCAATACCACATGTTGTCATCAGGTGCAGTTGAGGTGCAGTTCAGGTGCAGTTCAGGTGCAGTTCAGGTTTCGAGATTGTATACATTGGTGCTGTTCAGGTGCAGGTCAGGTGCAGTTCGGGTGCAGTTCAGCTGTGTATATCTTATGTTGTGTGTGTCAAGATGTTGATTTGTGCAGGAAC